TAAGCAACAAAGTTATGTAAACAGTTCTGGAAATGAAAACAAATCAGCCAAGTCCGAAGATATCAAAGTAACTCATACTAATTCCGATTGTATGAATGATATCCAATACTGTGAAAGCACAAGTTATTCAAAAATGCATCATAAAAAATTTTCATCACCAAATATTATTTCAGAAGCCACAAACATAAATGCCTCTCATGAAAAAAGCGAACAAGTTCAAAGAAATTCTCAGGTAGAATCACAATCTAAACAAAGTCCTTCATCTTATTTACCTTTAAGTTTACCGGGGATGGATAGTGATTTTTATGATAAAAATAAAGAAACATGCGGAAACTGTCAAACAAGTTACAATTCCAAAAGTCAATTCTTATCAAGAGACTGGTTAGACTCAGATGATAACAGTAGTCAGTTAGAAATTTGTCACTGCCCAAAAACGAGTTATTCAGTACATTGTTCCTCTGAAATGAAAAATGTTGAAACAAACCGAACAATACTTAAAGATACGAATAAAATGAAATTTTATGATAGGAATCATATAGATTCCATATTCTATTCCTCGGATAAAGTAAGTTGAGTCTCTTAGCTCGTTTTACTTGGAAGGTAGTCTTTTTCTTGATTTAATATGTAAATTGACAAATGATTGTAAGAAATGGTGCTAACGATAATATTAGTGTAGCATTTTATGTTCTTCGCTTATTATATATTTGTAAAAAATATGTAAAAAGCAAACAGCTTATTTTCATATCATGTGACGTAAATTAGCCGTGAAATTCTAGCAAAAGAAACTAGCAACTAAACTAGTGAATACAAGGTTTCTGTACTAATTGCCGTTCAGTATAATTATTTTTAACTTAATAAATCATTGCTTGGTTTCGACTTTAGTTCAAACATCAATATTTGGGTTTTTTACATACAAATTACGAGTTTAATATAAACGAAAACATTGTAAAACTTGCCGTTAGTTATCGTAAAATGGAGTCAAGAAATTATTCATGATGGTGGTAAGACATTAAAATAACAGCCTATATATCAACAGTAGTCTATTGATCCATCTGAATAAATAAAATTTAGTAAACCAAACGTTTCTGTATAAAGATTGAAGATTCTTCATCTCGGTTAATAGAATTTAATCACCATTAAAAACTAAACAATTGAGTATTTATTACTATCACGTGATCATTTAGCGCAAATATATATAGGTGTTGACAGTCGTGTACGGTGTAGCCTGATGATAATATCTTTAGTTGTGACGTGTGTAAATTGCACAAGAATCATCGACTGACTTAGGATTGTAGACATACCTTATTTCAAACCTACGTTTGATCAAAATGTGATTTAGGTGTTGTAGGAATAGAATACGTATGTATTCTATAAGATAGTTCGTACCATATCAAGTTTTGAGTAGATTAATGTATCAACACGACTCATGCCGTAATATATCACTACTCCATAGTCAGCTTCATGTTGATACAAATCTCAGTGAGTACTAGTGAAAGCACTGCTAATAATCTAAAGGTTCGTATTTATCATATTAAAACTTGAATTTAGATGAGGTTCTGTCACTTTTATTATTTGTAGGAAACTTTTTTGTATGAACCTTACATAAATAACTTCATTAAACATTTTGAAAACACTGTTTTGCTTAAAAACGTGCATTTCGAAAGTACATGAATTTACGAGAATATCACTCAAGATTTCTCAGCAGCTTGTGGAAAATGAAACTAAAAGATCATCCAGTGTTAAATACAGTTTTATGATGCATAACAAATAATAATGATGAAATAATGCATTTCTAATATCCCAATGAGTAGAAAACTGAATTTTTAACGTTTCACGACTTAACGTAGGTCGCTTCTTCAGTGAATAAATAAATAAATAAGATCTAAATAATACAGAGAAGCAAAGTAGAATATTTGGTACAATCAGAAACAGGTTTAATAATGTTAATGACAAGTTATCCCTATTTAGGTGATTCTATGTGAGTTATACTCATGCATAATTTTGTGTATTTTGTTAGGGATAAAAAAATGTAATCAAGTGTTTTTTTAGTATTTTCGGAGTCTCTGAGTAATTCTGTTTGCCACAGACATCGGTACCACTCTAAATACAAGTGCTATAAATGTTTTGGAAATCTGAAATCAAAGTTAAGGTTAGGGGAAAGTTACAGTTTTCTGTTGTTTCAAACTGGTCTCGTTTTGTCTCCTGAAACCTGTGATTTATTTATTCCATTCACAACCAATGAGTAATACAATCCAACATTCATTCAAATCGAATTCCGAGTCAGTACAAAAAGATTTACTTTGTTTTGTCACCATATATTTCCCACAGATATTCAAATTGACTGAATCAATTTGAGCAGCTATAACTAATTCGTCTTTTGCAAGTATAGTACTATTCTAATTATGAGTAGTTCAGCTCATTCAGAGAAATCGTCAACTTAATGTGGCTATACGAACATACATGTTTGTAACGAGTTCGCTTAATTGTAGGTATAGATTAATTGAAGTAATCCACTGATGGAGAAATGTACTACAGTAGCGATATAAATATAAACAAGTTAACGATTACAACAACACATTACAAGTGATGATTACCACATTTTTACTGATAATTCAGTTCACGTCAACCTACGGTTTCTCAGCTGATGACTTTAAACTATTTTGAAACGACTTGGAAACAATGTAAATGATATCTATCATTCTCAGTCTTAAATTTCCTGATGGACATAAATAAGAAGTTCCTTTACCAATCATATATTTCACACTACTATATTTGCAGTTTATATTCGTCACCGACTGATCTCGTTTGGAGTACCCTTGAAAACCATGGAATGCCTGACTGTATCGTCCTAGTTAGAGACTTTTCACACTCCATACATTACATCTGATAACAAATAGGAATCTCACATGGATGAGCAAAACCTTTAACTTGAAGAGAGCCGATAACATTCATTCTATAACTTAAATCACGAACTAATCCTAGATAGATGACCATTGAAAAACTGGAAGCATTGAACAGCCATTTCGTGGGCTTCCACCACCCCAACTGCGGGAATCTGACTCAGGACCTTTAATCTCGCGCGTGAACAGTTACTCTCTGAATCAATGAACCAGGATCCAACGGTGTTAATGTCTTTGTTCATTCAACAGGTGGTCGAGTTACTCGACTGAATACTACAGAGCTTTGTAACTGCTTTTAGATATGTGATGTAACTACTTTGCAGTATGTAACAGCTTATTATCCTAATGCTAATGACCAGTCGGCTCCACGTTTGAGAGAAATAGAGATGAATAAACGAAATGTACCGTTTGTAATATTGCAGTGAAGAAAAAGTGAAAGAAATGACATTCAGAAGGCTATTTTTCGGGGCATTATTTGCCTTAACTTGTGGTCTTTAAATTACTAACATTTAGTTGTGTCACTACTCTATGATTAATCATAAGCTTTCGATTAATCTATGTAATATTGACATATTTTCATTTATTTCAATCTTATCGTAATTTATCCACGATCCCCATGTTCTGTTTTGCATTCTAATTCTCTTGTCTGGTAATATACTGTAGTTTTTTTTATTATGTGTCAGTGAGTCATAAATTTATTTGTGTACACGGCTAAGTTAAGATGATTGGATAAACAGTTTTCTGTCATGGTCATCTTCTCTTGTCGATCAATCATACCACGACGTAGAAATCACGAGATCGGACTCTCATAGTTGCACCAAGTAAACAGACACATTAAAGCTGCAAGCCGGTTACGACACAACTCATGTTGCGTATCTAAGTACAGACTGGCGGGTAGATAACAAGGTCTCAACACATCCGGAAACGAGCTAAAGTCCCAGAAAATCATTTACATGATTTCTCATTTCTTTATTTTTTCTTCATAGTAGAAGCTAAAGAAGAAATGCTAATTCAGCAAACAGAACTCTCCACTAAACCGAGAAGACATTTTAATTATTCTCAAATCGAAAATTGGACGGATCGGCGTTTTAGTATTTTCCATACCGTCCATTTTTTCCGTCGAATTATTTTTTCAATTTACTCAAAACTTAGTTTGATGATTCACTTTTAGAAATAATACCTAATACAGGCAATTTATCAACTTTCATTTTTGGTAGAGAACACAATTCTGGGCTACTGTGTAGAAATCTTTGAAATTACTCTACAAAGTCATATAGGTATGAATAAGTTATTCATACTTAGCTACTGAACTAGCAATCTGCTGTTTAAAAATATCGTACTTGGCCACAATCTAAGAGGGAAATTTAACATTTCTTTCTCTTGTTTCTAGGTATCTGTGCTTTGCTTATTTAATTCCAACTATCTATGTAAATTGGTCATTTTTTGCATTAGTTAAAATATTCCCATTCTTTCTAAACTGATTTTCATCTCATTTAAACTTCAACAATTGGAGCAACATATTGTTTCTAACCAAACAAACTGTCGTTATGTTGACTCCATAAACACAGAGAGCTGCTAACGTGAAGGCAATTCAGATGGACTGTAGTTAAAACGGATACAACTTCCAAAGTTAATTCAGTTTCATGATTATTAAGATAATTATGACCGATCCACTTTAGCTGAAGCGTTTTCTTAAACTTGTACCTTCGTATGAAATGCACTTTTGAATGCCATTATATATATATATATATATATATATATATATATATATATATATATATATATATATATATATATATATATATCATTTTGTTCCGATACTTAAAATATTTGCACATAAAATTTGTACGCAACCAATGAGATTATGCAATTATATGGTTCATTTATAACTAAAACTTATCACTAAGGGCAACGATATGTAGCAGTTAGCGTTGTTAGGTTACATAACCTAAGGCATAATTTAGTCGAATGAAAAACGACGTAAGCCGAGCTATTTATTACCTGAGAAACATTATTTCTTTAGAAGTGTAAATTATCAAATAACCATATACATTCACCACTTTATCTGTTTCATTGTTACATTAATCACACTGAATTCTCATGAGTGACATAACACTATCTGAACCATCAAAACGTCGTGGTGAAGTAAGTCATTGCTTTGAAATTGTTCATTGTGACTAGTCCTCTGGCACAACATATAATACGTTAGTAATGCACTAGGTATTGCAGTGTTTAGTAGATGGATTTAGCAATGCCATTGATTTGCAATAGCAAGAAACCAATACAAGTTTTTTTTTTATTTAATGTTCTTTGTATTATGAGATAGATGAATCGAATCGGTTGTGTTATGAAGTAATAATTTCATCTGATGTATTCAACTTATGAATGCTGTTGGATTTTTATGGCTTCGCAGTCAAAAAGTAACCTTTCATTGGTCTGTATGCGATACTTTTATCAGTATTATTTCTTATATCCTAAATTCTCTAAACATTATGTTATTACATACGTTTATTCGTCTCTAAAAATTTGTGTATTTTGCATACAAAGATGAGTAATTGCAAGCAGAACAAATGAAGACTTGATGAAGCTCTCCATATCGTTTGAAAACTTATATAAATACTCACAAATATCATGACAATTTGTTTACGGCAGCAAGCATTTTCGTAAAAATCAACTACTTAGAATGGATAAATGATACAAATGAAGATTATAGTTCAAAATTCGTTCTCTGGAAAAAAGTAATCCTGTGAGATGATCACCGTACATATTGATATGATATAGTTATCATGAAAACATATCACAAGATTGTGTTTCACAATCTGATGGTGTCGATGTTAGCAACTATGAACATATATAAGGGGAAAACTTCAAGGCTAAATCGAATGTTGAGGTTATCACCAAGTTAAACGCCAAGGTTTATTTTAATTCTATCTTTCAGTAGATACACTTTAGACGTATTTATATGCAGACATCCTTGATTAAAAGCTGTAAAGTGAAGTGGGGAAATGTTTACTGCATAAACAATATGACTACAAGTCCAGAAATCAGACTTTTTGAGATGAGCAAGTCTAAGACCACCATCTTTATTTACACATCTAATGAAGTAGCAAGATATAGTAATAAAGGAGATGAAGTTAGCTTTCCTAAAAATATATTTTAGCCCAATTGCTGAACTTTGTTAAGCAATAAACTACCTTCGAGATAAACTGAAAATATTAGCTTTGGGGTATATTCCGGATGTTTGATCACAAATGTTGCATTTCTCATCAAGCTACTTTCTGTCCAAAGTTGTTTGCTCTTTAGAGTCTTCATCAATGGATTCGTAATTATCTGGTTACATGAAAACGTTGGTCAAGGATATGAGAAATTTACTAAAAGTTACATTTTAATAGCGATCGTTATAAATTTTGAGCTATTCCAAATGAAATCTACAGGTTTAGTTCTTCAGGAAAAGTTTATTACTGTCTTGCTGACTTTTTAAACTTTGAATGTAGGGAAAAGTTCCTTCGTAAGTTTATAATAGTGAGAGAACCGGTTAATATGATAAACAACAAATAAACTGTACCCATTTGTACAAAAACTAGGGGACTAAATATCTTTGTATGTTGTAATAATTAAATCGATCAAATGATAAGATAATATATTTCTTTTTACTAGAGATGTAATTTAGATAGTAAGATATTGAGAAGTGGGGTTTTCAGTGTTAAGCTGATCATATGAGTGTATTCAATCGGTCATATAACAGTTTTCCAATGAGTTTGTATTTTTAGATTATTAAAAATGCTGATATGAAGCCCTCAATTAATTACAGGACATTAACCAAAGGTGGATGGAGCATTCATAATGTTCATCTCCACTACAAAACCTCTTTACACAATACTACATTTTCAATCACACACGAAAACAAAGAAATTTATTAAGCACTTTAAATTCTAAGCATTAACCATACTGATATTTGATGGATGCTCTTACTGATTAGACTTTAGAAACTATTTTCTGACGCCATCCAGAATTAATAAATATTCCAGTATAATTGATAGCAAACTGTAGCTAAATACACACCACTAAGAAAAAGCTAAAGTAACTATCTAGCACTTGCTACAATGAAAAATAAGAACGTTTTGGCAAAATACAATGATAAAGACTATGATAAACACATCTGTTACGAATACCGATGAGAAACAATGAAGAATGCTGACTGTACATCATTCAGTAGTTGTTAGTTAATCTATTAGAAAAGTGATAAATGCTATGGGTGATTCGCTTAAATAAATAAATAAGTCGTCTAAAGATCCCCATCATATTAAAAGACTAATATTTGAGCGAAGAATATTCTTCTCGATAAATTCTTTTCAGGTTCTACAATTATATATTCAAATTAATAATCCGAAAAATGGTCAGGTTAAGGGCAAAGTACATCGTTTAAGCATGTGAATTTAGGTTTGCCAAGCAAAATTGATGGATTCATGAGTCAATTAAAACTACACCACCATGGAAAACCTTGAAGCACTGGATGGCCGTGTCGTTCTAGTATGGGACTCCTCAGCGGTGGGCATCCACGATCCCGCCTCGCGAGATTCGAACCCAGGACCTATCAGTCTCACTCTCGAGGCGGCCGTTCAGTGCTTCCAGGTTTTCCATGGTGATCTAGGTTCCATTGACTCATCAATTCAACTGTTAAATCACTATAATATCCACAAAACCCATATCTGATTATAAACAAAATGGAGTAAAATTGTTAATATTGATATGACTCATATAGAATGTTAACTTGGATCTGCATATATGTTAAGTGAAAATTTAAGATCCGTGATCAGAATAAATATGGGTCAGATAAGGTGAGAGAAATAATAATGCAATAACAATTCGGTCAAATGTTTAGTGGAAGACTATATGGTGTGAAAAGTTAGTAAGACGTAATAATGAGGGATGAATGCAAAGTGAATGAATCATGTCTTGGGATGTGATTCATCTAATCGTTATCTAGACAAATATCTAACAGCTATAAAAAGACCACAGAAGTTACCAAATACTTCATCTAGTAGTAATAGTAGGTTTTCAAGAATATGCACTATTCTTGTCACATCTATTAAACGGATCTGATTATTTATTCAGTGAAGTACACCAGTGGTTTACTTTTTAACATCAAAAAAGATGCACTGATAAGTACTTTGTCCGTAAAAAATCTTACTTTCGTTTGACTCATTATATTCTTTCTATGAACTCCAGCGGACTATGGAAACTGGCTTTTTGTACAAGTGACCGTACTAAAAAATTCGCTCTGACCAACTGAAAATTTGTTTATGACATGTTTTCCTGACAACTGATGAACTGTGTTTTAAAAGTTTTTAAATAAAATAACAATAAAGGTGGTGAAAAGTATTGAAAAAAAGGACAAGTTAGTTGAAAGATAGTAATGTATCAGTTGGAAAACCATCAGAGTAATTAATCATTACATATATATCTTGTTCCTCTATCTCCCTCTGTAATTTTGTATGATACTCGTCTTACAACATCTTTATAATAGTTTCGATAGTTGTCGTTATGAACGATTCTTACTATTAAACGGTTAGGATTGATTAGATTTCTTACCACGTTTTTATTTATCTTTGAGATGTGGCCGGAATAATAAGATCATTGTTAGTGTTCTGCAATTTAAATAAATCAGGTAGTATTTTTTGTAACTCAAGCAGAATAAACAGTAAGAATGAAACCGCCCTAAATATTCAGGTAACCATCGCACTCTAACTTAATAACGTTTTTAACGTGTGATGTTAACAGCTTAAATTAGTTCTGTGTACTTTTTGTGAATAATATATTCTTAGTGTCACCACCAAACGACTTATTTTTGTTATCATGTACGTCCTGGTCATATTCCGATTTTAACATGTTATTTTATCATGTTACGCAACCCTGTTTTACAATTATGAACCTGCACATAACTTCCATGACATTTTTTATTATTATCCAAGGTCTAAATAACTACATTTTCAGTTTCTTAATAAGAATGATATTTTGTGTGATTTGGTTATTTCTTTTCTTTCACTGGTACGATCAGTAAATTACTGCTCTCAGCATACTTAATACTAATTATCATTAAGAAAAGTGCTTATTTACTATTATATAGGATTTAAGATGGACTCGTAAAAATGAGGACACTTCGTTGAACCAGTCTGTTATGTGTTATTTCAATGTTTGTTTATCTATCAATTCTGTTTGAAGACTATAGCTGAACCTATTTTACGTCATCAAATAATATAGTCAATTCAACAGTATTATTCATATTTATTGTGACTTAGATTTTTTGATTCCAAACTCATTTAGAGAAAAAGCAATTAGAATACGGAATGAAAATAAGCTATATATACATAATGTATGCAGATAGTCATAATCAACTGACTTACAGTGTTCATCTTTGGGTTGTCTTAAGTCAATGTAATTTATTGTATTTCATTTCCAGATAACATGAAACATGTACATCTTGATCAGTTAAACTATTTTATGTTGAACTCACGGAACAACTTTTTTTGACATCTAACTAGGTAACGTACTTCGTGCCAGTTAGTATCTTCCTACTAAATTAACTTTTCAAAGGAAGTATTTAACCATAACAAACAATAATTGATTGACCGGAAAGCTAAGTACTCTTTAGTTGACACTCAAAATTTAAATACCTTTTCTGAAAGCAAGTTGTAATGAAAATAAATTTTCTATTTCTAAGCGTGACCACAATAGTTTGTTTGCATTGAATGGTTTAAAGTGGAACTTATATTTTCATTTTATCTAACCACTTTGAAATGAAACAAGCAACAACAAAATATCTTCTACTAATAAGCTTTGATAGATGAAATAAAAGTATTCTATGGACTCTAAATAGAGTGAATTCATAACTATTTTAGTTAATCTTATTGTATATAAGTATTTATAAGCATTTTGTGACCGACTGTGTGTAGAAGTATATGAAAACATTTCAATTTATATATACTCCCATACCCAGTAGATATTATTTACTGTTATTGAATATAATCATCTGACTTACTAAATCTCAAAACACCTTGCCTAGAAAGTAGATATGTTCTGACCACGTCCAATTGAAGTTCAGGTTAAAAATTAGGTGGATAAACTAAAAAATTACCTATTTTAGTAGATATTAACTTTATATCCTAAGATCATAATAGTATAATTGATGATTAAGAGTTTAAATATTTATTTCATTTAGGATTTCGGTGAGTCATGTGAAGAAGATTCTATTGCTGGATTAAACATCCCATCAGTTACTCATAATTTAAGCTTGGAAAATCGTGATTTGAAGAGGAAGTTAGATGAAGAATTATCTACATACAAACAAAGATTATCTGCTTACCAGGAAGGTCAGCAACGTCAAACAAACCTCGTTCAGCGGCTCCAGTCTAAAGTGAGTGGAAGTGTTAATGAAGATTTCTTTAAAGTAAACAAGATTATTTATTTATTTTATCTAATACTACAAACTAAGAACTTTTTCGGTGCATAGGGTATAATCCTCCATCTTTCTTATCTAGGATCGGTAGAATGCTTGTCGAAATTCCCTCTCAAATAATACCGCGACCATCTTAAGCTACAAACAAGCACGAAAAATTAATTATTTCTTTTTGTTTTCTGCATACTATGGGCGATATACGACTATAAAAAACTGACACACATGTATGAAGCATTTCGAAATAAGGGATTATATAATCAGTAATGGAAAACAAATCGTTAAGAAAACAACAAATATAATTTTTCTCAAATAGCATCCTTGATGCTTCTTAAAGCACTCACAGAACTTCAGAGTCAAACGGTGGACAAGACGTTGGCATTGATCATGGTTCTTAATATTTTCAAATTCTGTTCAGATTAGATCATCAAGTTTGTCATTCTCTGCCAGCATCTGATTTATACACAATCTATTTCACTTGTAAATTTTGTTTCAAAAACAGTATCATATGAATTTGGTGAGGGAATTCATGTTGTCCTAACAGAATTTACGGAAATAAACAAGCTTTTACAAAATAACGACTACATTAAATCTATTCAACTTCTTCAAGTGTTGTGGTAACTAATTTATCAAATTGCGATATTGTCATACGCTGATTACACAGTGAGAACAGATATGTTTTTATTATCCCACTACAATCTTGATAAAAAACTGTAAGGAAAGACTAAATGGAATGTTAAAATCTATTCTTCTTTTGATTGGATTTTCTCCAGCCGGGTTTATTTATTTATTTTAACACATAAATATTGGTACAAGGAGGCACCAAATACATATGAGCCACACAGATCTCATTTGATATATGTGAGAGCTGTGATACTGCCCGGGTGCCCAAACCAAAGCAGGTGGTTTTCTTAGGGGACCACACCCGGAGCCTTCGACCTGAAGGTCTGATCCACAAGACAGTGGAGCATCGTAAGAAGATGCAGTCTCACGGTAGCCGGTGACCATTTGTTCCTTCAGGATCCTGAAGCCTATGCGCACCATTGGTTTGGAATCAGGGTTTTCCAACTCCCCTAGGTGAACTCTCCATGTCAACCAACCTGGTTAAAGCGCTGGGTTTAAAATGTGTTAAATATGTTCTACAAACAAACGCCTTTTTTAAAGGGACAGCATAGTGCTAACGATGTTCCAGTGTTGAAATTTTCAGTCTGCGAGATATTTTCAAGGAGTTTTATTTGTTCTACATGAGAAAATGAGGGTTGGTGGATGTAAATATTTCAAAATATCTAGTTATGGTACTTTGTGTTGTATGTAAATATGTATTCAGTATATTTTTAAATTCAAATTCAGTTATATATTTTATTGTCATTTATGATAGGTGTTACAGTACAAGGAAAAATGTCGAACACTTGAACTTAAATTACAGATAGCCGATACGGAGAATCAAAACAGAAAAGTAATTTCACTATCTGATAACATTTTTAGTATTTTGCTGAAGTATTTTTAGGACAGGTTGTTATTGAATGTAATACAAAACATGGTAGATCTATTGAGGTTTGAGCATAATGACCTTGTAATATATGCTCAAAAGATAAAGAATTCTTTGTATTTGATCTGATTATTCCTCTAAAAATATAAACCTTAGTCTTGATTTCATTCAAATACTGAGAGTACAGGACTTATCAAGTAACCCATAAATTATTAGGTAACATTTGTAAATGAAATTCAAACGTATTTTATCATCAGACAATTCAAAATGAGATTTGAGAGATTTTATACTATTTTGGAAAAGAGCATTTATTAAACCTTTATTGATTATAAAATCATGGAGGCCTTTCTTGTAACTTCTCCATTGACATGAAACAATCTTCATATTTAGTGTGAAATAATGAGACATTTTCGTACATAATCCATAACGTTAAAACAATAATATAGACACACATAGACACAATGATATTTGATAGGCTAGATCCGACGTAAAGACAACCTGAAATTTGTAGGATCTGTCGTCAGAATCGTATTCCGATGAAAAGTTTCGATAATTTACTTTCCTATGTTCACAGTTTACTCAAAGTAGATTTATTGACCAGATTTTGATCTACAGTGAAGTAACTCAAGCAGTTGTCTGTCACGATTTTTATTCATGACTGTTAGCCACAGTCAACAAAGAGTCCGGTATAGATTTGCTGCAGCCCAAGCTGTGAAATCATTTCAGTACACCCAGAGGAAATCAGAAAGATGAACAACAAAAAAGTCAAAACAGTATAGTACCGACGATAATGGGTAAGACTAGACGTCGAGGTTATGGTTTGAGACAGGATGTATGTGTGAAAGAAAACTGCGACTCAAGATTTAGATTAAGATAGAAATTTAACGCATAAGCCTTATTGTGGCCGATTCTGAGCTGTATCACCTAACGTTTCCAACCACTGGTAGCGGTTATCTCGTGAACCTCAACTGCGTAGTTTGCATTTAGCTAACATGGCTCAGACTTACAGTCAATGACTTCATCGACTGGTGTCATATTTTCATTTGTCCGCCACTACCTTTTTTTTAACTAGCTACTTATTTACACCTGTTACTCCCAATAGAGCATAGGCCATCGACTAGCATTCTCCAACCCATTCTGTCCTGGGCCTTCCTTTCTAGCTCTATCCAATTTTTGTCCAATACTTTCATATCTGTCTCCATTTCTCGGCGTAATATGTTCTTTGATCTTCCTCTCCTCCTTCGGCCTTCAGAACTAACTACTACACCAGTCATAATAGTGTGTCGAATTCGGCAACGGTTAAGCATTTGTAATATATATCACGACCACCTCCATCGATAAAGATTTACCACTTCGTCAACTAATTCCCCATCTTTGCCTAGCACCCTATGGCTATTGATAATACGACTTACTCTATCGCTCCATGAAACTCGAGCAATACTTTGAAGAAACCTAGGATCAAAATTCGGTAAATTGAACAACTCTTCTACCTTCGTAGACCATGTTTCACATCCACAGAGTAATACAGCTGCATTACTGCACAGTAAACTCGTCCTTTGTTTAGCAAACAGACCTCTCGTCTACACTAAAAGTTGGTAGATATCAAGCAAGCTTTCCGTTTCTGTATCAAAATTTCGTTTAAAAACAATTCACTAGGGTTGATCTGGTTGGGAAGACTAACTTTTTAGCTATCCATGTTGAACAAATATGAATGTACAGTGAATAATAAAATTCTGAATCTATACCAAACCGGTGAAGAGTGTATTGAAGATATGCAGTAAGATATCGTCTGGTGATAACAATATTTTAATATAAATAATTACACATATATATGTAGCAAAAGATACTAAATGACTTTTGCGTGAAAGTCTATCTATCTTCTACCCAGGATGAATTATTTAAACCGTATGTAGACAAATGTCCTTAATTTTACATACTGTATACTTAACAGTTAGTAATCATATCGTACTAAAGAGTAACTAGATTTAATTGCTACAATATTATCTTCTGAGCATCAAATTGACCTTAATTTTCTTATTAAAGCATCGAAATGCATGAGTGTAGGTGATAAATTTTTGATGGGGTAATAAATAATTTTAGAGTATAAGGTTAGCCCGCATATCTTCATTATTATTTATTTTTTACGTTTCGTATTATTGCCATATAAATTTATTGAAAGCAAATAAATAGACAGTACAAAATTCCTTAACACTAAATATTTTTTTTTCGTAATTGAACCATCCTAGTCAATTACACACAGCGGTAATAACAACTTACTTAATTGTTTGAAAATTAATTAATGAAAACAAAGTTTGGTATAATTTACTTATATTCTTATTAAGAAAATAGGTCAATAATTTTTAGTGATTAGTGAAACACTTTTACTTTAATTTTTATCATTAAAATTACCCAATTATTTGGGTAATAAATAGACCGACAATTTTAGTGAATTGCAGAGATAAAATAACTATAAATTTTGACTGATGTAGAACTAAATATTGAAGAAATAACAAAATTCTCGTTAAGGATAATAGGTGACAAAATTGAAAAATAATCTCAACAGATAGAATCTATTTATGTTGTTTCCACTTTGTTTTTTGTTTGAAAATTAAACATACTCTTATTTAAGTTGAACCTATTTCCTGTTTTTACTAAAAATGTTAACTTTTATCTTAATTATCAAATAAATGACATCTTAATTATATATACTATATTTTGAAGATTTTTCTACCATCTCGATCACTCAAAATCATTTATTTTATAATTTTATGGTTTAGTAGTTAGATTATTGTGATGTGATTTGACTATATACATCATTAACCCTTTATATGGCCTTAAATCTGACTCCGATTTGGATGAACGTGTGAATATGCAATAAATATAAGCCTTTCATTTAAGTCCATACATTATCTAGGCTAACCCCCGTTTGTATGACGTTGGTAATAGGAAGGCAAGTACTGGTGGTGTTTGAGGAATTTATTTCAGACATTTGTTTATCCAGACAGAGATTCAGAATAAGAAGGGGCGAAGCGAAGAGGAAAGAGATAAACGAAACGGAATGACGCACAATGGGGAAGGCGTTTGAGCCAACTCGATTTAACTAAGCGCGACTCAATAATTATAGTCAGACAAAAATATGTCATAGATATGTGGTGAGTAGGGTAAGGGATTAACTCACACGTTCATATAAAATGTCAAGCTTAGTAAGCGAATAATTGACAAGGCCAAACTGTGACGCAAGAAGAATGAATAAATTGGTTTGTCTGGAATAACCTATGTGGACTTGACATAGTACCAACCACGACACTCGGAATAAATAGTCATTGTGAGAACGTGATTACACTATTCATCATAATGACTAATTTTTAAACGCATAAATATTTGAAATGTGAATGGATAAGATGTACTTAGAATTAGCGGTTATACGTTTCACTAATAAATATAATCGAACGGAAAAATCAGTATTCATTACAAGCTAAGTCGGATCACAGAATCATTTTGCTTTAGAGCGTAATCTTTTGGTAAGCTAGTCTTCCAAACCCCCCAACTCAAAATTACAAAACCTGTGGAATTATTCAAGGCTATAATTTTCTAATCAGGTCCATAACTAATACCTGACTACATCAGTTCTCACTGACTCATAAATAACTGTTTCTAATAACTTGGCGCTATTGTGAAAACACATATGGCTTTACTGACTCGTAACCATAAGAAAATAATTCTACGAATCCAAAATAAACTACAATATGATTCCCGCCTTCACAAAAATTTTAAACCATGCTTTCACGGAATCGAAAACCCTTGTAATAAATAACAATATACCACACTGTTAACAGAAAATACAACATAATCCCTTCTTCAAAGTAATAACTGGTTTTCAGAATGAAATGACAAATAATATTTGTTCTATAGGTTGACATGATTTATAAATCTCATGATCATGTGAGATCAGACACAATAAAATGCAGCTGATAAGATATATGAACACATTCCTGAATGATACGCTAATGTCATCATCAGGATGACGTTTTATAAGTAACCTTTACCTGGTTGAGTTTTTCTTATCATTAACTGTTGATTTTTCACATTTCCTAATTTTATACAATCATAAACAGTTCAAATCATGAATCGATTTAAGCTAGACCACAATTGAAAACCTGGAAGCACTGAACGGCCGTTTCGTCCTAGGATGGAACTCCTCAACGGTGCACGTCCACGACCTAAGGTCTCGCGCGCGGGTCCCATGTTAGGATGAAGCGGCCATCCGGTGCTTCCAGGTTAAAATCCTACATTCTCCAGAAATCCCCATGCTAACAATTATAAACATTAATAACCAGATAAAAGTCGAAATGGTTATTAAATTTTTCGAATAAATACTTGGTAACAAATATTAAATGTTTACGTCTGCCATCGTTAAAAAATATTTTTATTTTTTATGAATAATCCTTCATTAATCTTAAGGCTGGAATGGATGAAAATACAGCTGAATATGAAGCGACACTTCTTAGACTTGAAGAAGAGCAGCAAAGGTATGTTATCATTATACTATGGCCATGTTTGGAAACATAATATTTGTTTTTTACTTATTTCAATTATATAAATAAATGCGGTTTTTGAGTTTAAGCGTAGTTCATTACAATGTTACACTCTATATCTTCGTGAAAAAGTAATTTTTATGTGTCTCACATAAAATAGGCTCCCGTTTTTACGCATTTAAGTCACATCACTTTATCTCAAGTACATCGATTCTAAGACGTTTACCCTCAAATTGATAAAATATAACATATAAAATTACTGGAGTTTTGCCTTTAAAATATATTGTTTACAATTATTATGTCCATTTAATTAGATTATCTTGTGTTCATATCACAGAGCTTCAACGCTTGCTGGTGTAAATAGCATGCTTCGGGAACAATTAGATCAAGCTACACATGCAAATCAAACGCTTTCCTCCGATTTACAGCGTATTAAGGAAGAAGCATCTCGTTTACGAGATGTTCTTGAACGACGGGAAGCGGAATGGAGAAACGAAGAAGCTGCTTTCAACGATTATTTTACGATGGAACATGGGAGACTCCTTGCCCTTTGGAGGGCAGTCGTAGCCTGTCGTCGTCAGTTTGTTGAAGTCAGGGGTCAGGTAGAACGAGAAATCGGATCTGCTCGGGTAGAACTATCCAGAGTGTCGAGGATATGTCAAACCGCTTGCGAAAACTTTGCTTCTAACTTACGCACAAAGGAAGCTAGAAACATGGTAAGCTTTTTCACTTTTATTGGCTAACTGTTTTGTATTTCTTTCGCAAGTAATCTGTTGCATACTGCGAAAAAGCATGAAATATGTTTGAATCAAAAACATCCACTATATAAGTATGTTATATTTTAAAAGCAAATATATTAAGTAAGTAGGGGTTTACGAAATAGTGAAGCATTCCACTTTTTCTCAATTAATAGTTAGCTTGCAAAAGCTAGAGGAACATGTCCATACATGTTACTTGTTTTTTGACTCAAGCAAGAACATTTTTTGTACCCTCATATTACTCGAACAAATAATAATTTCACTGACCATCAGTAAGCCTCAATCCTACTGCTATAAAATATTCTGCATTTAAGTTTTACGTGTTCCAACATCGCATATAAGAATTAGGACTACTGTTTTGATTATCTCAGTTGGTAATATTTCAGATACTGATGTGTGGGATAAAATGATAATCATTGGTTGTTTGCTTAGCCAGACTTGTAGATAGTCTGACAGGCGTTAGATGAGTTATATATTCTCCTGTCCTTATTATTATTGACTAATTGTTGATTGCTGTTGGATTGTGTCGGCTTGCTGTCGGTTTTTGCTGCTATGCCCCGGTCACGAAGAGGAAAATGCTCCACGCACTCAGGGAGTTGCTCTGATGTTGTCCAAAAAAACACGAAATGCACTTATAAGATGAGAATTTCATGGATCCTGGATCATCAAAGCATCCTTCAAAACAAATAAGAGGGTAATCACAATGTATGTTATCTAGTGTTGTGCACCCACCAGTGATAGCAGCGACGACAGTAAACATCAGTTCTACTCGAGGCTGAAATCAATCATAGCGAAGTGCTCAAGAAAGGATCACACTATCCTGATGCGATATCTAAACGCTATAGTTGAAATGGACAACACTCGATATAATGATATCATGGGACGACATGCAATGAGAGAATGGAACTAGAATAGCGAGAGATTTGAGCCTTCAGCGAAATGGTTATAAGTGGCACAATATTCCCTTACAAATGCATACACAAAGCCACATGGATCTCACTGGGTCACATTACATAGAACCAAATCGATCATATTTGCATCACTAAAAATTCAGAAGGTCAATGAAAGACGTGAAAACAAAAAGATGAGCTCATATGGTTTCATATCACTACCTGGTAGTTGCCGCGATGAAACCAAAGCTAAAGAAACACTGGACATTCGGAAAAACACCGTTACAAAGGTTCAATACAGCCTTCGTACGAGATACTAACAAACTCAACGAATTCAAGATAAATCTCAATAATAGGTTCCAAGGCTTACAGAATCTACTGAAAGAAGAAAAAACTACAATGGAGGACAACTGGAAAGGGACTCCCGATGTCGAGGTTTTCATAATCCAGTCGACCACCAGAAGAAAGAGGAAGGGTGAGGGCAGGTAGTCTTATCTGACTCCGGTCCTCACTTGGAATACATCTGTCATCTGACTTCCATGCACAACTTCGCAGTGTAGTCCATCATATGAATGCCGTATGGTGTTGATGATTTTCCCAGCTAATCACACCATAGTGTCGACAAAGTTTCTATAATGTTCTCTTATCCACACTGTCAAGCGCCTTCTCATAGTTAATGAAGTTGATGTATAGTGATGAGTTCCATTCAATTGATTGTTCAGCAATTATTCGTATTGTCACGTATTGGTCTGCACAATCGATCCACAAAGTATCCGGTCTGTTAATCTCGAAGTTGATCGTCTACTGAATCTTTCATCTGGTTCAGCAATACTCTGTTGTAAATGTTTTTTGGCACTGATAGTTGGGTGATGCCTGTGTAGTTCTTACACTTGCTCAGATCTCCTTTCGTTTGTATCCTGATAAGATTTCTTTTTTTCCAGTCTGTCGGCACTTGTTTTTCCATTCAAATCTTTCAGAAAAAAGCATAGAACATTAATGCAATCACCTCCGTGTCTGGCTTTTTTGTTTTAGCCGGTATGTTGTTCGGTCCTGCTGCTCTCTCACTCGATATGTTCTATGACCATGCTGATTTCGTCGGCTGTTGGCAGGATAACATCTGTGTGCTTCTTTGATGTCCGATGAGTTCAGTGGAGCTGGTTTATTTAAGAGCTTCTCAAAAAATTCTACTCACCTGCTTCTCTGTTTTTCAATCTCAGTGATTAGCTTGCTTTCTTTATTTTTGACTGGTTGCTGTTTCACTCTATTTCGCTACTAGTTTCTTCGTTGTATCATATAGTTGTTTCATATTTCCTTCTCTGACAGCTTTTTCCAAAGTCGTTGCTAGGTCTTTTACGTACATTCCCTGAAAGAAACTGACTTAATGCAGTCTAGAACACCCACAACCGGAATATTCAAATCTTTACAACGAAGTTTTGATTGCTGTTAGCATTTGAAAAAAGTGCATGTTGTATATTTAAATCCACTAAGTGAACGGTTTCGTATTCATTTATCATATCTTGTTCATTATGACATTTTACTTCAAATAAAATTCACGAAACCAATATAAAGCACAAATAAATCAATAACATTATAGTGTTATATGAATAAATTGCTGTCAGTATTTATGAAAATGAAATAAATGCTACTTCTAAAAGTTATTATCATTAGATAAAATGTATAAAATCATTACTAAATAATGAAGAATATTGATTTTGTGTAACTTGATACAAAACTTTTTTACATTAAAAGGAAAAAAACATTATTCACACAATAGAAACTATTTGTTTTGTTACATCCCCTTGGATTTTATTTCATTCAATGAATGTAACTGATAGATTGATTTTATCAACCAGCATTTAAAATGTGTTACATTATAATTTCTTTCGAAAAACATTTCCCACTTGTATATACGTTTAAAAAAACAGTTCAGAAATTTATTTATTTTTCCATTTTTCCATCATGTAACATCAGAAAGGAATTGTGCTTAACTGTTGATTTTGACATGTTTCATTATATTCAGAAATAGATTTTAATGACTTTAATTATATGGGTATGTACATACATTAACAATGTTTAACAGGTCACATTAGAACAAGAGAAAAATGAAAAGAAAAAATTAGAACATGAATTAGATGAATTAACTAGAAATTGTGAAAATATAAGACAGCAAACAAATGGACAACTTGAACAAGCAAATCAAAAAATCACCAATTTAATTAATCAAATAGACGAATTAAACAAACAACTTTCTGATAAAGATAGAACAATTGATAGTTTACAACGACTACGTACTGGTCAAACTTTGTGTGGACGTAAAGGTTTGAACTTAAGAAGTTTATTTATTTTATTAGTTATTTACTATTTAATATACGTTGACTTAGAGAATACTTTAAGCAAATGAGTATATTTAGATTTTTCTGATGAGTCTTTACAATTACGAAGTGTAATTCACTTAAAATATTGGAATTATTTTCATTAAGCGAATTATTATATATCTGTCTTGGTGAAAAGATAGTGATGATAATAATTATAACCAAGTCGTGGAATTGTACATTTAGCTTGTTAGAAATTTTTTATTTATTGGGTAGAATAACAAACAAACTGATGTTAAAAATTATAACTAAACATCAAGGTACAGATGAACATCATTGTCATTGAAATCATATACCGATTAGAGTTAGACAACCATCGAAAACCTAGGAGCACTGGTATGGGACTCCTTAGCAATGAGGACATACACGAACCGACAGACCGAACTTGATCTTTGGACATTCGATGAGCGCTTAACCTTTAGACCACTGACTCGGGATCCATTAGTCTACAGTTCTAGTTGAAAAAGACAATCAGACGGCAAATTATCGAACAAAAGGTTTGGTCAAAATTACTGCTGGTTGTCGTCTCTATTAAACTTAGTGAATGAAGGCCTGCAGACTATGAAGACTTCGCTTACAATTGATTACTCAGTGGATAGTGACCAACATCATGTGTGTCAGGTCCTTTTTTGCGCATATCAAATTCTATCGACCAATGTAAACACTAGTTTAGGTGACTCGACATCGTGTGCAACTACACATGACAGTGACGACTACCCAGTGATCAATCGATTGTAAATAAATCTCAGTCCTACAGGAGGTCAATTGTGACCCGTAAAGCTCAGTGGCAACGTCTCTGACTGTGAAGCTGAGTGATACGGGATCGAACAAGTCAGGGAGCATCAGTTCTCTCTAGATACCAGGTTCAAATTTCTGACGAGTGCCAAATAGAAACGTAAATGTTTGTGAATGTTTAGGTCTTTTCAATTTTGTCCTTCATCTTCTTCAAATGGGATAGTACTGAACTTTTGATGCATATTTACATCTGTGTTGTAAATAAAACCTAATGGGAAATTACGATAAATACGTATTTACTTAAATTGCTTTCCCAGTTTATCATGACGGGAATAATCAAGTCATACATATGTTGATTAAAAAATTAGTAGTAGTTCAAAATGAACATTTTCGTATGGAAACATTCAAGTGACGTGGATTCAAATCCTAAGAGGAACACCAGTTGCCTGAAGATTGTAGATAAGGATACTAAAGATTGCCAACTAATACGAGACAGATCGAAATTTCCTGATCATCGCCTACAAGCAAATAAAATGCAAAAAATAAATTTATACGTCATTTACAAGACATAGTTCCATTACCTGCTTAAAACTTGTAAATTACGTGTAAAACTAAATATAATTATTTCTTGATGTGTAAGGCAAAACATAAGATAGAAAGAAACAATCACGTTTTAAAATTAGGAAACATAAAATACCATTTGAGTGACAAAACTAATTTCTAATATCTCGAAACTTCATGAGAGCCACTTGTTTTGATTATTATTTACTTAAATATACCAAAATACTTTCAAGTGTTTGAAATTTGCAGTCAGATTGCGCTTTTATCGAATGTTCCTTAATAGATTAGGTTGAAAATTTCTAAAAGTAATTTTTGGACTCCAAACATAATCAGCTGTCGAAAATACGACCGAAGCTCTAATTCCATCGTTTGTTTGATACAGAAATCAAGGGTTGTTCACGTTGTTATCAGAGGCTGTGGAGTTCTGGAAAATTATTTACATACTTTGAGTAATTGACCAGACATATTAGGAAGGAATATAAATACATGAATAAACACTAATACATTACATAAAACTTATTTTTGTTCACTTAAGCCAGGTGCATTATGGAGTAGAGAGAAATAAACTTTCAGTGTGATATATTTTTTCGTACTGCATGGTTATTAATAGATAAATAAATTTTGCTTTCTTCACGCTGTACATATTTCAGATTGGTTTGTACAAATAATTATTTACCTTTCTGTTTACTTAGATCACAAAATATTTAGTACTCTAGTGTACAAAATAATTGTGATTATAAGTAACAAATATCCATCAATTCATGACCAATATCACATATCATGAATGTTGTACATTTATTCGTTCATTAACTTACCGAAATTCATTTTTAATACCATACCAAGTATAATTAGGATAAATAATTGACTCTGAAAGTAACCATAAACTTGCTTGTGTAAAGTATGGTTTCTTTTTTACTTATATTTATTTTTATTTAAACTTTCCCCAATCTTTAAAACAGAAGGGGCAGATATCAATGATCCTTCTTCAAGAGCACTGGTTGAGGAAACTCAAGCATTATATCAGACACTCAGAGATATTTCTCAGTCTGTACTTAATGATGAAATCGTACCATCTGAGGCCTTTGGTGGTGTTGAAGGTTGTTTTCATCAGTCGAGATCCCGTTCACCATGCTATGCTTCGAATCCAAAGATGATGACCAATAGTTTCCATAACTCAAGGGCAGGAGCGTATGGTCGCACCGGATCACCACCACCACCAGTTAACAGTACAAGTGCTTGTTATTGGGGTGATTCAGCATTATCTGCTGTTCAGGCTGCACTTCGTAAACGTGGACTTCAAGTTAGTTTATTTGATTGGATCTTCGATGTCTAGCTTGATAATGGCAGTTTAAGAACATTTTCGTCTTCATAGATCAAGAATCATTTTCGTGTGTTTAAAATGTGAAAACACACACTAGTAATGTGACTTTTAACCATTAGTGAAATATCTTCGCTCTTGAATCGTTTCATAAAAGTACAAATTACACAATCTGTAACCTTAAAATAGAATTTGTTGGCTATTTTAGGTTTCTGAATTAACGGCCAAGCTGAACAACACTAAAGATCAGTGTGACTCGGTTAAACATCAGTTAGACGATAGTGAAAATGAAAGAAGAAACTTAGAACGTCAACTAATGAATATGCGTGCAGAACTGGACAATATACGAAGAGAAAAAGAAGAAATGGGTAGAGAAGTAAAACGAATTACAGCGAATGTTCAAACTCTGGATAACGAAAGAGCCGATCTTGAAAGATTACATTCGAATACATCTGACGAACTAAAAAGCTTGCAGAGCGAATTCGAACGTGTTCAAAATGCTTATAATGAGTTGCGTAAAAACAGAGACACATTAGAAGGTGAATTAACTTGTGCTCAGCGTGATGCTGAAAGGTGTTTAAGAGAGTCTGAACGTTGTCAACGTTGTATTGATACACTTGAGGAACGTTTATCATCTGAGCGCGAAGAAGGAACAAATTTACGAAGTGCCCTTCAGAAAGCCAAATTAGAAGCTGAGATCAAAGCCAAAGAATTAGCAGATATTCAAGACGCTCTATCAAGAGCTGAAACACGAAAGGCAGAACAGGAAGCTGAAATAGTTCGACTACGATCAGATGAAGCGGCACTAGGTGAACATTTGTCCAAGTGCCAGGTATATTTTTTGTCTAAAAATTTTCTATTGATTACGTAACAATGTTGAAAATCATGGAGGATCTGGGTTATGACTCAATATTTAAAACTTTACCTTATAATAACGATAAACATACCAAATATTTAAATTCTAGACACAAAATTCATATGCAACACGTTAATATTTGATAGTTTGTCTTTTAAAAGGTTAAGCTAAACTCATGTTCTAGTGAAACGAAAATGTGAATTGCATATCTTGCAGAATTTTCTGGTTTTGTAAATAATCAGAATTAATTGAATTAACATCAATTCTTAATGCAATATACTCTTTAGTTGAGGTGGTAAGAAATCGTATGTACTAATATCTAACAGCATAAGATTCAAATACTTCATTTGAAGCACTTGGTCCCTTTGATAAATTTCGATAGAGTAATAAAAAGACGAAAATTATCAGAACTATGTGATATATTAGCACAATATATTTCGAACAATCTGATCAGATATAATGTACTTGTTAAGAACATTGATATATAAAAATAATAGGTTAACTAGACTAAAAAAAGGCGCTAAGAGGAGACAAGGATAATAAAGAGACTAATGTCGAAGCAATCTGAAATTTCGTCACTCTGGATAAAAAGTTAATATTAGCAGGATAGGTTTAAGGTGTGAACAAACTGTTTTTGAATATACAAAGGAATTTTGAATTTTTGTATGACGAAGGGTTCAATAAACCTTAGTATATGTCCGTTTACACTTTTGTACAACACCACAAAAATCGAGTTAAGATCAATCGTATGACCTGTTTCAACTATGTGTTTGGCAGTAATTCAGTACATCTCATATCATGGTCTAAGTATTTTTTTAGAAATCAATTCTTTATTTTAAACAACAATTTACTCAAAATCCATAACACTACTCTGATTAAATTATGTAGCGCATTAACTACATTTATTTACTTGTGGTCATACACCATAAATTATGAAGGTCCAAATAAGTCAATAATATTTTCAGGTAACAATAACTGTTATTATCATTGTTATTATTATTATTGTTGTAACAAAAATTGACCACTACATCGATTAAAAGTACTTCATCAACTTCTAGGAAGTTTATTTATTTCACATAAGTATAAATAAATGTAAATGCTAACGGGTAAAAGCGTTACTAGCCCTAAGGATTACATTTTATTATGTTTTATTAAAGCTAAACTACCAATTTTCTTTATTAGTTCGTAGTATTAAAAATTATTTTCTACTTGTTTTAGTAGAAGCATTTGCATTTCTCTGTATTTTAACTAAAAGAATTAAATCATATAAAATATCTTATTTAATAGTCTTGATTATTAGTTATTACGGTGTTAAAAATGTTACCATTAAAACATTAATTTTAGTTTCCAGAAATTATCATAAAGTAGTGACCATCTATTTCAGGTAAATTTTTAATAATGAAAGTTCAAATATGCTATTTTAGTTTATATTTAGGGGAGCTTCCTGTCTAAGGGTAAATAATTTATAGACACGACTTTATTTGCTTTTATACTGGATTTCAAAATTTTAATTATTTAAGTTATGAGAATTTGATTTTTCCTAGCATATCCCTTCAATCTAATAAACTAATGTATCAATTCTAGTTATTGTAATATTATTATTTTCTTTCAGTTTCTACCAAGTGAGATGACTTTCACCTTAACAAAACAGTAATTCTGATTATACATGAACACTTAATTTCAGATTCATGTGGTTAAAACGTCTGAAATGATTTGTGAAATATACCGGGTTATCAAAACGACTTTTATTTAGTATGTGTAAATTAGATTTTTTTGAAACTACAATTGCATCTGGCTAACCAGTTAGGCTACTTTCATTCATCTGTTTGTAAATTTGTTTTTCATCAGTAGATCTTGAAATCATTTTCCGATTCGATGCATAAAGGATTCGATATTCGTCCTAACTCAGTTACTAACGTAGACTTCAAAGGCCTAGTCGATACGGATAGAATATGACAGTGAGTAGCTGCAAATGATTAATAAATCATTCAACTTATTTACGATTGAAGTAACCTTAATAGTATCAGTATTCACTCGGGAAATAATTCAGTTATCCACCAAACGTTCGTCAACTTACCATGTAGTTTTGTGATATAAACAAACTATGTTACATAAACTTAGTAAATCAGCAGATAAATTAAAAGTATAGCGTTTGTGTACATTGAATTGTTACAATTTATGTTGTAGTGTGTGCTTGAAATGTTTTTTTGGTTCGAACTATTTTGAAATAAATATTATCCATCATGAAGATCAGTAAAGTATCTTCGGGTACATTTAATTACTCTACTATTCCACTCCAACATTTAACCGATTATACTAAAATGAGCGATGATAAATATATCAAACTAAGACTGCAGTCCAAACGGCCATGTAAATGGCAAGTAAATGGTTTACTCTCAATATTCAGGCTTAGAATTAAGTCTCTACATCACTTATGTGAAAGAATAGTAGAGTTACAGTCACTCACTCCCGTCACATATCTTAATGTTCCATGTTTTGAAATAGGTCATTTCTTGTCTACATTGTTTTGATTTAGATTTCCTCGCTGGTAAATAAGTAGAACTAGATGGTTAGTACATCCATCGTCTATTCATTTTACACTGTTTTACTGTTTACTTTTGACTAATTTTTTAAAAAAATCTTTTGCTTTGTATACTAAGATTAAAATTGAGACTATCGGTTATAAAACTGAACTGTTTAACTTAATGGCGTTTGCCAGATTCATCTATTTTTCATATATGATAGCTAAATTATAAACAAAACCCGTCGGGTATACAATTAAGACCTAATAATGTTTTTGGGACTACAGATAGAACTACTAGATACACTTTTTAAGTAAACCTAAACTATCCTTTAGTTACAGTTAACCCTTCTTAGATGTTTTATTGAAAGTAGGTAAGTGTCCTTTTACAAATTATCACTGTACTGAAAGTTACATACCAACCGTTGCAGGTATCTATTTCCATTCACATATTTTTCACCTTTTATTACTTTCGTAATGAAACCATTTATTAAATTAAACTAGTATTTTAATGAAAAACCAACTGAAACTGATGATATGTTGAATTCCACGTACTTTGAAAGTGCATATTAACTGCTTAAGATATAAAATATCATAAATATGGGTACGAAGGTTGTCGAAGAACATATCTATAACCAACCAATATTTATTAAGTAATCGCTCTGAAAGGTGTGGAAAGACAAATATATTTTGAAAATGCAAATTACACCCAGATTCATCCTAAGAAATTGATTATTTGTAAATTTTAGAGTAAATTGGAAGAGGTCTCCAACAAGAGGTCGATTCTGCAGAGCCAATTAAGAAATCAGGAAGCGGAATACAACCAGCTAGCATCTGATTATCGAAATGCTGATGCAGATCGTTCTAGCCTGAAAGAAGAACTTATTCAAATGGAATCACAAAAGAATGAACTAATTTACGAAAAGAATAGCATTTCACAATCTTTAACGATGTCTGAGGCTGCTCGTGAAAGACTAGAAGAAGAAATCACCAGTCTGAATAGAGAAAAATTAGAAATTACTGAGCAAGTAAGTTGGGGAATTTCTATCTATTTTACGTTCTAAAATACTTACCTCTATTTTTATTTCGAAGTTTGTTCAATACTTTTCTTGATATAACTGTGAAATATCAAGAGATAGGAGCAATAAAATTTGGTTGAGGTACTCTTTAACTCAATTATAATCATACGACACCGGATTAGGAACTTTGAAAATTAAGTATACGGATAGTAATATGTTGGTTTAAATTCCAAAGAAATCAAAGTTTCTCAAATGAGCATAACCCGATTCTCAATTTCGATTTATTAAAACCGAAAACTATCAAATTTCAAACCTTCGTATTAAATGGAGTAAGCTAAAATCTACCACTTCAGAAAATCCACAATCATATTCAGTGTCATAACATAAAACGTTACTTACATTCCATCATGTATTAGTTGTTTGAATCTTATCGGCATATATGTATCCTGTGAGGATTGGTTCGATATTGCCTTAAGTCACAAACTTTATGAACCGAGATGGATAGTGATCAACACTGGAATCCATAATGTACGTTTCGCTCTATTTGGAACTCGTTAGCTAAATGTACCTGGAATCCATAAATGATGTTCTCTCTGGGACTCTAACACAGTACCGTTATCTTCACACACCATCACAATATCCATCTCTACTTCAAATCCATGTGACCTGGTGGCAATATCGAGGCGATGTGCACTCAAAAATATCAATGGTAAGATTTAAATAGCTAATATATATAAATTGAACTTCACCCGATTGTTTAATCCATTGTCTATTTGAACACAGTAGCTAAGTGGACAATGGGGTGACGTTTGAAGTGTACAGTACAGGTTTTGAGTTAGGTGGTAAAAATCAACTGTGGAACCCAGGTACATCCAACTGACGAATCCTAAGTGGAACAAAACGTGTATCCCGGATTCCACTGCTAGCTACCATTCATCTCTGCTTAAATTATTTACAGTTACTCATAATTTTTTTCCTATTCAGTTGAATGAAAATATTTTTCTAAATATGTACTAAGTTTCAAATAAATTATTCTACTGAAAGACATATGTTAATATCTTTAGTGTGCGTTCATCTTCATAAACATTCTGGTTATTTGAAGCTGTAACACTGATGGTTGCTTTCGACCGAAAAACTGTACGAAGCTAGTCTTAGATAATATGGAATGAAGAAATATCATTCATCAGTGAGGAAAATTGACCCTTATCTTTATAACATTATCAAATGACTTTTTGAAAACTGTATTTGAAAAAAATTTTAAAACTGGTAATTTTAGAAAAATTTTAAAAGACATTCATATTTTTATAGCTAAATACCGTTACAAGACAAAAAAATGGTCTCACTAATGAACTGATCCAAAAGAATAGAGATTATGAAAGAATTCGTGATGTTATTGGACGTCTGAATAGAGAAAAAGAAGACTTGACAAAAGAGAAAGGTGAACTTTCGGCACAGGTCACTGCACTTAGTAGAGAATTAAATCAAACTTGCGATTTACTTGTAGCGAGTAAAAAAGAACATGAAAATTTAGACGCTGACTACTATCAAGCCAAGCAACAGATAATGCAATTGGAAACAAAAAGAGATTTATTAGAAAATGAGTTACAAGAACAAAATCTAAAACGAGAAAATTTATTGGGTAAGTTTTGATTTAAAAAAGTTAGTTTAAAAAGGCGAGTTCATGTTTTCGTCAACTCGATGTAACGTTTCATGGTGTTACTTTTATTCCCAATGTAATATCTTGACATTGGTTTTATTCTCAGTGCAACATTTTAGTCAGTACCATATTGGTTTTATATTTTCCATTGTAGCTTATTCATATGCCGACCCAATGGTCTATAGGTTGGGTGCTTCAGTTTGAGATCGAAGTTCCTGGGTTTGAATCTCGCGTGAGAGAACGCGAATGTGTATTGCTGAAGAGTTCCATACTAGGACGCCTATTCAGTGCTCCCAAGTTTCGAATGGTAGTCTAAGTTAGAACTGTTCACAATTTCAATGAAGTCAATATGTTTATAGCAATTAAGTGTGAATTTCGTTCAGGATGACAAGTGTCAACTTTTGTCAGCAATGAAAATCATATATCTTGGATTACTCCATGTGAATTTCTTGTGCGTTTTACAGCCACGCTGTGTATCTTTTCATTTCTGCGATGCTTGCTAACTATTCATCAAAAGGTTTTGAAATCAGCATGCGAATGGACATATTTGGTTTAATCATGATGTGATATTGGATGACTTGTTTTGGTGTCGTGTTTTTGTAAAGTCAATAAATATTTAATTATACCAGTCTTTGTTTTTTCACATCACGTCATGGGGATTACAGTAGTTCTTGTTTCCAAATATAAGTAGTTGGACTGAGAACACATCAGAATCGCCACGTACATAACAGAGGCGACACTATATAACTAATTTTCTTCAGTACTATTTGCAGTTTTGAGCAATGTTTCAAAAATTCTTTAATGAGTCATATGATAATAAATGTAACTTTTACTTTAGAGCATAATTTACCGATGATTTTTAGTCATTAGCATTATTCCTCACTCGGACACTGCTTTAGCTAAAAGTGTTATCATAATTTTTGAAATATAGACGTTTTAACAGAACAGCACTATTTTATGTTATTTGCAATAATCGCGTAATTTAATGGCTCATATTACAGCAAAGGTGCTATTTGTTTAATATCATCGTGACAATAATAATATCCTGATAGGCAAATTTCACAAATTTACTTTACAATATTTCCAATTAAATTTAAAATGTTTGTTTCATTATATCTTCGCATACTACTAGTTGAACTGAAACGCACTCAAGCCGACCTTCAACACGAAATCGAACGTGGACTTCAGGCTCGTGAGCAGGCCTCACAGGCTTTACAAAAACGTGAAGATGAATTGCAAGGGGCGATGAAACTATCGAAGGAGGCAGCTGAAACCGAAATATCCAGATTGAGAAATCAGTTGACTGAATGTAGACAATTGTCTGATAAGGAGCTAAGAGATCTTACACTTAATCATAAAGAGGCTATCAAAGACCTTATAAAGCAGAGCGAACAAGATAAACAAGATTTTGATAATGAAGTAAGAAATTTGATCGCTTTTTATGGAAATTTTTGCTACTTTCCATTGAACTGACACATATTGGTTAGTGCAAATATTCGAAATAAATTTACAAGTATATAAGGAAGAATTATGAACTGTAATCAAGCCCTACTTGACAATAACCTATAAAATAGAACAATATCGTTTGACGTAATGTTCTTTTTGAAGTCCCTAGCTTGAAAACTATTTTAATACGCCCATCAATTATCATTAGTTATCGAGAAACCTGACTATATCAAAAGTATTAACAATCAAATTGAATAAATTTTATGTATGATATATTTTGCAGTTCTTAAAAACTAAAACAAAAGCTGTGACACTTAAGTCTATTTGTGAATTAGTCATATGACTGAATGTAACTGAATGAATATGAATTACATACACTTACGATTATGACGATTCTAAACAAAAATAAACTTAACTAACAAATTATTGGTTAATTTAAATGTTTTGAATTCGTACATAAAAATTTATTTTGTTAAGAATTTGTAAAGTGTATGAACATTAGGAGAGTATAGTTCACTTGTTTACTTAAATTATTGACAACAGGTAATCATATTTATTCTTCTTGGATAGTTTTTTTTCACATAACAAGTATTGAAATTTCGGTTAGTTTTATTTTATGAACCAGTAATCTGTTAGTAAATTTTGTTAGAAAAAATAAATCTGTTTAAATTATAGTTTGCAATATAATGAAAAAAAATAATTTACGAGAAAAATATAGATCAAACAGTCTATTTGGTCTCATAGTTTAATAGGTATTTTACATGTAAAAGGCAACTAGTCCTATATAATTTACTAATTTTTGTCATTACTTGTATTTTTGAGAACTCTAATTGGGTTATGCAAAAAGAAACAACTAAAAATATTACCAAACTACTGTTAACTTAAGAAACATTTAGTATGTGGGGTCTGTTCACTGATTAATTTTTAAATTGCCAGAATTGAGGTTTAGGTCAAAACTAGGCCACAAACCAGAGATATCGTTTGCAAAGGCAATCTACAATGTGATTGCTAAAGTAAATACTGATTATAAAACCATAAAAATAAGCAACTTCCATCTTAAAGACCTCTTTTAAAAGGTTAGCACAAAATCAACCATTGTTTCACTATTCAGATTCCTTGTCTATTCAAATTTGTCTAACTGTAATGCCGATTGATTCAACCGAAATATTTGTGTATTCTCTGTATTAGCTTTGAAATGAAATTCCCGAAGTTCTAGTAAGTAACCATGACCAATGAAGTAAATCAGTTTGAGGCTGACCAGATAATAATAAGTTTTGGTAGATAAATTAGCAAGTGATTCAGGTTAAAATCTCGACCATATGGCTCCAAATCAGTGGTTTAATAGTGCCAATCATCTTATAAAGATTTTGGTTAAATTTATATGGATTATTGGAGCGATATCAACTGTTCAGTGTTATCTAGTCCTCTAACAGGCATCAGTCAGGAACAAAATATTTTAAAACTATATAAACCTCTTCAAACCACTCGGCTAAACATTGTCAAAACCTTGAAACATTAATGTTTATATGTCTAATAGTTTTTGCAATGTTGTGTCCTTGCTTAAGTTTTTTTCTTATAATCCTGACTATAGACTAACCTGTTCTTAAATCAATATGTCGATGATTCGCAAAGGATTTTAACTTCTTATTTTACTGGTATGAAGTAAGCTTCACACTTCAATGAACTGAAATACTCTAATATTTCCACTCTTGGTTATTGGTATATAACAGTCTGAAATCTGGGAAAATCCTATATTTCATTATACGAAAAGCTGGTAGTCTACTTTTAAAATGATATTTTTTAAAAGGCCTCTATTGTCTATCAAAAAATTAGATCTTAAATTTCTATTTTCGCGATGGTAAAATTACAGATTTTATATAATAAGCCAGTTCACTCCTATTCATTATTATCGACAATAGTGGTTAATTGTCAGAACAAAATCTTAAGTCTTTTTATACTGCAAAATGATTTAATTTGTCTATCAGATTGTAAATTTGACTGATAAGAGTTTCAACCCTTAAAGATCATAAGCCCCATCAAGATTTCAACTAGGTCTTATTGGCGAGAGTCAACCTGCTAACTATTTGCAATATTTAAAACCAAAGAATAGAGCACTCAATTTCCTTAAGTTAGTAATCACATTGTGCCTTGATCGATGGGATTCGATGAACATTAAGGGTCAGACAAATAAGACATTATTACTATTTCAACGATCAAATAGTGTATTTTAAGATATATCAATATTCTGAACAATCGTCATTACAAAGTTATCAAGTGAATTTTATCAAGATCGTTTCATGACTTGAAATGTTTTTTATTCCTATGGAAATGTAAAATATATTTTAACTTTCATTCATTAATTTGCAGTTGTTGAATGTATTCATAAAAAAATTATCTTTGCAAACTATTAAAATTTTTCACAAAATAAACATATTTTTCCTAAATATATACATAATTATAGCTCATGAAACTTCAAAGGGAAAAAGATGAAATAACTTTGACATATGAAGCAGAGAAACAAAATTTATTATCGTTCAATGAACAAGAACGAGTTAACTTACATGAACGACTAAATCATTCATCACAACAAATTAAAGGATTAGAATCAGAAATAGATAGAATTAAACGCGAAGCTTCAGCTCGTCATGAACGTGATGATATGGCCAAAGCCGATTTGACACGGGAACTGAAAGAATTCCGTCAACACTATGAAGAGACATGGTAATTGAATGTGTTGTTCAAATTCTATTTGTTTTAGAAATATAACGAAGTTCAGCTTATTTACATGGAATAATCAAGTGATAGAATTTAGATTTAAATTTTCCGATTTTCTGAGTTTGTTGAATTTTAAATTGTCTTCGGAATAATACAATCAAATGGTTAAAACAGTTTCATTAAAAAATTATCCTGGTTAAATTTAATTTTTCAGAATTTAAGCCAGTAATTACAAAATTAGTTAAATGTTTCATTTATCTCTATTGTTACTTACAGTGGTGGTAAACACTAAACTCACAGATATGTACGCAGTTTATTTATACACTTGTCATGGATTACATTTTTGGGATTACTAGAGTCATTTTCACAGTCATAACCACTAAACTAGGATTTATATTCGAAAACCTAACAGACTTCAATAAATATTGAATATTATGATTTTTTGTTACAGTTGTGGCTAATAGCAAGTAGGAAATTAGATCAAGCCAACTATAAGATATTTCTTCCCATGAAAAACATCATATGCTAAATAAGTACGTTTGAAGGTTTCTTCAGTAGTACTTAGAATATTTGTCCCTTATGTTTTAACAATTTTTACGATTTCAACAATCATCACGAAGCAGAATATTATAAAAGCTTAAGATAATATATGTTTAGTGTTGGTTGTTATTTATTCTACATAAGATTATTATTCACCTTTATTGAACAAATTTATCTAAAATATTATCATCATTTTATAGTGCATTACATGAACAAGCAATGAAGAGCGCTCAAGCAAAATCTGCTCAGCTAGCTACTGAAAGAGATCTAGCAAGAAATGAAGTGAACGAATTAAAAATGCAAATAAACTTAATTGAAGAAGTTCGAGATGGATTACAAAAAAATATCTCAGAAATATCTCGTCGTTTAAAAGAAACAGACGAAGCTCGAGAAACACTACGTAAAGAAATTATTGATTTACGTAGGACTCTAGCTGAAACACAACGTGACCGCGACAATCAGGAAGAAGCCAAAGAAAATCTCGTGAAACGAGTTCAGTCTCTAGAAACTGAGCGTGTTGAACAAAATAGAGTTCTGACTGACCAACAACAACAAATCTCTGGTAATTAATCTTAATCTAACAACAAGTTGTGGTTTATTTTTGTTTATGATTATTCTTCCAAAACATCCGAGTCAGTGTGATCCGATTTGTATTAATTTTTTTGACAGTCGTTGATGAAGGTAAAGGTTGAGTCCCACTTGGAAGCATACTATTTGTGTCTGGGTTGTATTCTTGGAGCTCCACTAATTGTTCAACACAGCTGGATTGATTATCAGGAGTTAGTTTTATCCCAGTCACCAAGTTTTCTGTCTCAATTCAAATAACGTCGAGTAGGGTAAAAAGAACAACAAACTAGTTTCTAACTTATTTATCCTTAAAAGCTAGAATAAAAAGGTTGTAGAGCATTGAAAACAATGAATTTGGAAATTAATGTAAGAAAATATAAAATTTAAAACTATACACACATTTAATGAAATAAACACTACAAAATAAATATTAGTTTATATAAAAACTTTTGTTGCTCGAACATGTAAAGTCTATAGTATCTAAACTGAATATTTTTCACAATGGTCCTGGTCAGAAATCACAGTACTGAGTGACCAAATACTGTTAATTGGTGGGTGAATTGAAGAAGATGAACATTTCAGTAAAAGTCTTAAAGAATAATTACCATCTGACAATTTATGAAAACAGAAATGGGAACTTAAAAGTACGTGGCAAACAAGACATATTTTCAAGTAGAAGGTTCTCATAACGTTTTTGGTATGATAGTCACAACATTACAGATAAAAAAGTTTATACATTAATTGAAAGATATACAGAACACAAATGTAGTGTTAAACCATAGTGCTAGTAGTTATTCCAAACTCAACTGACAATACGATATTGTCGATTAAGTTCGAAATCTCTATCATAACATGCGAAAATTTGAAACAAATCTCAAACCCACGAGTTTTACATTTCATGTGATGAAGGCTTTGTGTAATTTTCGGAAGTCACAAGCAATCCAAGTTCTGTTCATTTAAAATCCTGACACTAGCAACGATAATTCAAATTCGTCTCAAGTAGTAAAGTAGCTGGATATATATATATATATATATATATATATATATATATATATATATATATATATATGTCTTCGTGAACCTAAACCATTTTCCGTATCCCAGATTTTCCACTGATCTATCTTAGTATTGTTATAATCCGAAATCATTACGTATTTCCTAATGCTTGAATCAAGTCTACAATTTGGAAAATATATACCGAAATAACTTAGCTTAATGACAACCGTTTGAATAAATGTGCTTTCTGATTTACGCCTATAAGTCCTGATAAGCCTAAAAATTATAAATTGACGAAGATCAAATTAAACTGGTCAACTATCGAGTCTCCATTACGGAAATAATAAAAGAACCCTTTCATTTGGAAAATGCTATTCAGAATAGTTTTTATAAAGCTTTACTACTAGGGTGACAACTACTAGACAGTGGAGATGAAATAAATTTTCTGTTGAAAAGCTGCTGGTTTAACCCTCTGTTCTGTGAAGTAAAATTCTAGTCTAAATTTTAACTCAAGTTCATTAAAATGGATAGTGACTTATCTGGCTACACAAATGTAAAATCGATGTTAAAAACGACCTCAATTTCGTTTCCAATTAGTCATTTGACAGTTAACCTTTTTATGATAGCTCGGATGAATACGTCATATACAAGTAGCAACCTTTTCACTCTAGAATACGTTCAAACAATTACGTAGTGATTTTGTGTTTTCACAGAAATAAGTTTGGTTCACCTTTATCCATCAAGTAACCCCTTTGTATTTGTGATTTCAGTATTTTATTTATTAATAACTTTATCATAACACTGTTGGTAAGGATTGACAAATGGAATACAAGAAGTATATTATATCAAAAAGCAAACTATAAATATCATATAATGTAGACATAATCAATCAATTGAATTTCGTCAACCAATAAGGAGCTGATAAGTTAACGTTACCCATATAGTGGTGAGACAACAGTTTACTAAGTCTCAGTTACTTCTCTTTGATATACTAAGGCAAAATTTAGGAAACCAGTTGAATCAAGCGATTTGTTTCAGTTACTACTGACAGGGTGTAATAAACTTCAAAGTCTAATTTAGTAAAGAACAGCAATGTAATGACTTTGTAAATCAGTTTATTTATGATAACATTAAATCTATTTAAAAGTCATATGTCAATGGTACTGATATAAGCCAGTAATTAAACTATTTTATGATTCATCAGTGTCTAATGCCATTGATCCGAAAAGATCCAAGTGATCCAAAACCAAAGCACTCTCTGGCACTTGGATATCGGACGGAAGTATTTTTCCATAAACACAGTTTCCACTGAAATGTAAACTAACTCACAAACTTTTGTATAAGGAGGAAGAGTGAGTATTATTATTCAGATTTATATTTCACGTAACAAAAATATTTATGAATTATGTTTCTGTCACAGCTTTTGAAGAACAAAAATGTGCCGATAGCAAGGAGATTGGTGAGTTGCGTTCAAGTGTTCGCGAAAGTGAGAAAGGACGTCTCGATGTCCGTCGTGATCTGCAAGAAGTTAGACGTCAACTTAAGGATATGCAATCAGATCATGAAAGGCAGACTAAGGATTTAATGGAAATGCAGTCTCGGATAACACGGGAGGAAGAAAAAAATGAAGAATTACGTCAAGAAAATACCGTCTTGAAACAACGTAATGGTGAAATAGACGCTTCTCGGTAAGAACTAACTACTGAAATCTACTGAGTAGCTTGATAAAATCACCGACATTTCGAACTAATTCAAACTAATTTGGTCTTTTAAATGATTTGATTGATTCGTTCGTTGTCAAGAACTGGAACATGATAAGAAATCACAAGAAATTTATGGTTAAGTGACTTTAAATGATCATATAAATCCCGTTGATCCAATAACCTATTGAACATGTAATGAAGAACAGTAATGTAGAGGTTCAGGGATATAAGTAATTCCAATAGTTGAAATCATGAATCAATTGAAGCTAGACCACCATGGAAAACCTGGAAGCACTGGACGGCCGTTTCGTCCTAGTATGGGACTCCCGCACCCCGCGGGGTTCGAACCCAGGACCTATCAGTCTCACGCCAGGCGCTTAACCAACTAGACCACGGTGTTAATGTTTAGCTTCAACTAATCCACGAAGTTGCACGATAAACACAAGAAAATTAATTCACTTCTGAAATAGTTGACTCCCACAGTAAGCACGTGCATTCAACTATATATTTATTGAACACAAATCACATTTTGAGAAAGCGCTTTCCAATGGCGTCACTAAATTTTGGTTACGACCTTATGAAATAAACCAACATTCTCCTAAACTTAATGAGTAATCTTATTATAGGATCCATTTTTGACGGTTACGAAATTAAAGCGATATAATTGTATCAGTCATTTTCCCGTTCAGATAAGTCGAGTATGCTTGTACTTACATAAATAAGATATTGTGTTTATCATATCAGGCTGTTTAAGCGATACCAAAACCACTCAAGAATAACTGCATAATCACCATATTTTTTTATTAAAAATAAGATTTTTCCTGAGAATCTGTCTACCATTCATCAAACAGTGAAAACAGTACTAAAAGATCATTTGATCACTGTCTAGAAGTAAATACATTATATTTTAAGTGTTAAAATAAAAGAACCATGATTAATTAATTGTTTAATAAAATTCACAATCTAATCTATAATGGGAACTAAACAAGCGAGGAGCAGTAAAATGTTTCAGTTCAGTAATAACACTAGTGTTTGAATCAGGGTTTAGTCCTAACAGTATCATTTGCACACAGGCATGCAAATAAATCCGGGTGAAGAGTCCCAAAACGAACGAAATGCCTATCCTTAGCTTTAAACCTAGCTATTATTCAACGCAGTAAAATAAATTGCTACACCTCTATATATTTTAATAGAATCCTCGTTTTCCTATGTCCGAAATAGTATAAAATTATTCCGTCATGATTTTTTAAAGCTTTAGTCACTCTCAGCATCAGTCTAGAGAAGATTCGTTTCCTTTGAATGAACTTGAAGTCATTCATTTGAAAGAAAGACTTCATAATTCTACAATACTTTATGATTTTTTGGTTCTTAAGTGGTAAAAATGATGATTATTTGTTTAATATAGTTCTAAGCTACGGAAAGAGTTATCCACTAGTGAAAGAAGAATATGTGACCTACAAGAGCTATTATCTAGTAGAGAACGAGAATACAAACAAGCAGCAGATCATGCGAACTGCGAATATCGTCGTCTAACAGACACAAGAAATCAATTAGAAACGACCGCTGAAGCGCTGAGTAATGACTTAGCGGAAGTAAGGTTGGCTTTAAGTGGAGCTGAGGGTCGCGTGAGTACTTTGGAAGCTCAGTTGGCAAAAAGTGAATCAATACGAAGAGATTTTGCATATAAGCTGGCATGTATACATAGTTCACTTCGTAGACTTATTGGTTATAATCAATGTCGCCATCGATCGAAAACTCCATCAAGAATCAGAGATTCAACTTCCGTCTCACCTGTTCGTAAACTAAGAACAGGAACAAGCCCAATAAATAGCCGTGATAACTCTCCCGTAAAAGGTAAGAAAATATCTTCTAAAGTATCATTTTCCATAACTATTTAAACACCTTGATAAAATTTCACTGTTTATAAATGAAAATTTAAGAGGAGTTAAGCATTTATTACTAATAAAGAATTATATGCTGAATAAGTTATGAATGATTTTCCCATATAAACATATATATGATTGGCGCAAGTCGCCTTAATATACCAAAGCATTTAGCTACGATTAATGCTGGTTACTAAGTAAAACATATCTCCTCAGTAAGAGCTCTTCAGTTAGAATATTGTCTTGATCAATTAGTTCGACTATATCATTACTGTTTAAAAAATAGATGACTAAGTTAGACACTACATTAGTCATATCTCGTTACAAAATATTTGTTAGTGACGTTACTCACGAAATTCAGCCGACATTAACAAAGATTAATGTGTGGTTATTTTATCTTACGTTGGGTCGTTTTGATGAGGATTGAATTCAATGTCTTATTTAAATCACGTAGCAATGAGTTTTCTTTGATAAAGTTCACAGAAATACTTTTGTAACCTTTAAATACGCTTTTCGAAGAAGCATAATATGAATTTTGTTCACTTTATTCTTCGTTTACACTGGGAAAATATCATGAGCATTCTGATCGAGAACATTGCTTAATTGAATTCGATTTTGAGGCAAAACTCTGTTTTTATTTAAAATAAATTGTGGGAGTGAATATTATTTAGCCTTCCTATATTTGTACTTATGATTCCTATTTTAGATGGCGTTAGTGATTCTAAATTGTCTAACGTATCAAGAGTATATCTTAGTGATGGATCGTTCAATGCATCTGACCTAGATCCTGAAGCAGTTCGTTTGGCTTTACGCGAGTTTGTACAGAAATATTCCTCGGTAAAACGAGATTATGAAGATGCACAAGCACAAATCACATCTCTTCATTCTCGATTAAACGAACAAGCTGAACAGACTGAACAGTGGGCTCGAAGACTTCACCAACTTCAGCAGGCTTTGTGTGAAGCTGAAGCAGGTAATTAAGAGCTTAATGAATGTTCTAGCGATAATTATCATTTTTGTTATGTACTCCATCTTTTTTTGCAACAGAATACTAGGTATAGGTAATTATAAAAACTAATAAATTTTCAAATTGCTTGGTCATCACACAACTGGTTTTTTATATTACCTTCAGTTAAATTACGAGATTATTTATGGAAATCATTCCAAATTTTCGAAGAACTACAGATCAGTAGACCATTCATAAAACGTAGTCATGATATATCAATGTCAATGACTTAGACCTCTAATAAACATACTTTTATTCAATGACTTTACGAAATAAGGCTTTTTCTGTTGGTATACCACTCAAATATTCAGAAAACCAATTGAGTAGTACTGAAATTAAAGCCTACTGTCCTTAGACATATCTCATGATATGAGGATGAATAAAAGTTTCATAGTTTTCACAAGATAATGCAAATCAAAAAACTATTTATGGTATATCGCTTACAGAGTTATAATGATCAAAAATATTACAGCATTTATTCTTCAGAGTTTATTTTGACGGTGTATTTCTCATCGTAAAAATTATGACGCTTAAATTAATCATCACATAACTTGCTACTTATAAATCTGCATTTGTTTCGTGAATATTAAATTTTTTGTTTAATTTTTATCTGTAGATAGTAGTTTTCATTTGACAGTTTGCATTTTTAATTCATATATAAATTGATTGCTTGAATCTTACCATTGACAAATAACTGCAATTGATCAGATTTTTATTGGGATATGTGCATTCAGTTAGGATTGGTTCGATATTGCCTTAAGTCACAAACTTTATGAACCGAGATGGATAGTGATCAACACTGGAATCCATAATGTACGTTTCGCTCTATTTGGAACTCGTTAGCTAAATGTACCTGGAATCCATAAATGATGTTCTCTCTGGGACTCTAACACAGTACCGTTATCTTCACACACCATCACAATATCCATCTCTGCTTCAAATCCATGTGACCTGGTGGCAATATCGAGGCGATGTGCACTCAAAAATATCAATGGTAAGATTTAAATAGCTAATATATATAAATTGAACTTCACCCGATTGTTTAATCCATTGTCTATTTGAACACAGTAGCTAAGTGGACAATGGGGTGACGTTTGAAGTGTACAGTACAGATTTTGAGTTAGGTGGTAAAAATCAACTGTGGAACCCAGGTACATCCAACTGACGAATCCTAAGTGGAACAAAACGTGTATCCCGGATTTCACTGCTAGCCAACACACAGCTCTTCCCAAAATTTTTGTACTTTTGTTTGGAGAACTTGTTAAGCGTACTTCAAGTTCTACGTAAGTCATGTTGTTCAATGATTTTGCTAGTATTGTAGCGAACGAGGACCTAGGTGGGGACAACCAAATGTATTTTAACACAAAACTACAGAATCTCTTTGTAAAATCTGAAAACCATACAATAAATACTTCATCTGCAAAATGTCAACCAATTGTCTCAAAATTGATTGTTCCTTCGTTTCCACAGCAATCATTGTCTGTTCTCATCCACTTCTCTTTGATTTTCTTAACCTTCTGCCGCCAGACATTTCACTTTCGATTAATGATACATACTACTTATATCTGTCAACACCAGTAGCACATACCATAGTATAATAAAAATTATCAAATACAATAAACTAGATGAAAATAATGCTATATTTTGAATAATTTCAACTGGATTCTTAAGTTACTTATCTATATTCCCTTTATAAACTTACTCTACTAATATAGAGTTTTATATATAGCTACTCTCAACAACGAATAAAATCGTAATTAGGCCACACAAACCCATTGTCGCAGCAATTTAAGTCGCCTAATCCAATTCTCCAAGTCGGTCGGATCAAATAGTTGCTTTACTGAAATATCGTACCAGTTTTAAGGAATAAAGTAGAATTATATCTTATATGGACATCGTTATATATGCCTCGGAAGTTAAAAAAAGGTATAAAAATGTGCAATTGTAGAAAATGTGGGATCGTTTTTAACAAAGTTAGATCAAATAAATTTTAGTATCACTGAAGTTAGTGAGAAATAGCTAGTTATCTGTAAAAAGATATTTTTACCACGCAGTTATGACTGCTCACAAAAACACAAAACGAAGTCAGGGACCGATTTTTGATGAATAATGTTGGTTCCAGTAAACGTTAATTGTTGAGTAAATAAAACACGAAGATGTACAATACATTTGAAAAAATAAGGAACACGAAATAATTTACCACAGCTTCATAATGAGCTTTCTCATTTTAATTTGTAACTCTAGTTTATTGATACTTTTACTTTCTTATATATGTTGTCAAATATTAACTAGATAAGAAAGGAGTAGACGGAAGATTATCTACTACACAAACTGCTCTTATGCTTCAAGAAGAAACCTTACGACAAAATGAACGTGACAGAAAAATAATGGCAGATAAAATAAGTCAACTAGAAAGACAAATATCTTCCATAGAAAATGAGAGACATGAAGATCAGGTATGAAATATATTGAGTTCTATCAAATGCTAATTATTGAATTAATATTATTTGACGTGGCTTGAAAATAAGAATGATTTTCAAATTCAAAAAGTTTTCTAACAGAATATTTTGAGTTGTAAATCACTAAAATGATTAGCCATATTCTCAGCAACAACTTATTCAAACTACGCTGCCTAAGTATTAAAATCAGTTTATCTCTCCTGAAGTTTAGCAAAGGTAGATGGAAAGAAAACGGAACACAGAAGCTTAAAACATATCATCGTTTCAACCAAACAATCTAATGATTTCAAAAACTAACAAAAATCTTCTAAGGTCATTATTATATAGATAGTTTTACTTTTAAAAATGCCAAAACAAAAGAATTGCTCTCACAGTCCTAAATGATTGAATTTTGTAAGATTTCAATTACACAAGACAAGATTTCACTTCACTATGCCGTCTAGAGCAATTAAAAATAATATTAAAAATAATTTTGATGCGATTGCAGAATAATAAATAAGAACTTTCGTCTAAATTTGAACGAATAGTTTCACAATATTTGGGCGCCGAGTTAATGTGAGACATTAAAGAGGAAGAATGTATTTGTAAAATACCAGTGAAAGAAATTATTTTCCTTGAAAAAGCTTGAACCAGATTGCCAGGCGAAACGTTGGATTTGGTTCAAATTCTTTCGCTGAGATTTTACAAATACATTCTTCCTCTTTAAAAAAATAAATTTTATATCATTCACTGAAAATTTAATGCAACAATTAGAATGTAGTAGAAACAATTATGTACGTAAATAATTCAAGTCGACAACGACAGTAGTAATACACGTATGTAATTATTTCTACAGAAAGTCAAGTCAAACTTTAGGGTTGTATATGTTAAAACAAACTAGCAAGAAATCAGTGACAAATTTATCAATATCTCAGAACATGTTTATTTTACTTAAACTAATTACTTTGAAGTGTTGCTTTATTATAGATACCAGAAAATATTCAAAACATACAACTTTTAACTTCTAGTATTAAATTGCATTTATGTGAAATTTTGTAAATTAAGGAAAAAATAATGCATTTACGTCAAACTGGAGCACGCTTTGAAGAGGAGCGTCGTCTCAGTCGAAGAGCTTTAGATGATGCTGAAAATCACATCACACAACTTGAAGTAACTAGACGATCATTAGAAGGTGAATTACAACGACTAAAGATGTGCATCAGTGATAAGGAAGCTGAGAATCAAATGCTTGAAGACAGATGTCAAAACCTTTGCAAACAAATACAGGTGAGATGATCATAATAACCCACCATACAATATAAACATTTGACACCCCACCTTGGTTGTCTTCTCTTATCATAGGAATACACTCGAAGAGTAATCATATCACTTATCTGTTCGATGATATTGAAAACAATGTAGACGTTTAAAAATACTTTATCCTCAATACCTATCTCTTGATAATTACAAAATGTATAATTCGTTGAGTATATAGTACTTTACAGACGATTTCTTTTAATGATGATATTTATGAAAATATTCTTTTAATGCTACCCTTTATTTCTATACTTATTTATCTCTACATTGTCGTGGTAATTTTCTATTATTTTTACTACATAAAAATTTCATTGTCGTCCAATGCTAAGACTCAAGTTGTTCAGAATACTAGAAAAAAGTGAATTTTTAATACTACTCATCATTAGTTATCTACAAAACTAACTATTCATTAGTTATTCGCTTTTAAAATATCCTTTATATACAACTAATAATCAACCAACACAGAATGGGTTAAATTAACCTATCAATGAACTAGAAAATGACTCACTTTTTATTTGGCAAGTATACAGTTAGTTCATAAACAATAGATACAAACACATTTTGTGAAAATTTATTTCTGATTTACAACTTATCTTTATTATCTGTTGAAGACTGTTAAACTATACCAATTATATTACTTATCATAAAATATATTGAAAATTTGTGAGATTTCATCCAAACCAACATTATTTGAATATTCATTCAAAGAGATTACTGGTGTTTTTATAGAATTTCGTTTAAGTATTAAATTCAAAATATTGCATCATTTGTGTAGACACGGTTCTGAGCTCCCAGTTTGAAACATGGCTATCGATATCTTTAAAATTTATCTAGGTCTTTGGACAAGAAAAATAATTACACTTACGAGTTAAATGACTACACTAAACATTTTGGAAGTCGTACATTTAGTGAATGGGAACTCAACAGTCCACATGATCAGATTTTAGCCAATTCCTAACATGATACATATGTGAAATCCTACTCAAATCTAGATTTATCAGTCTTGTATTTGATTACATATGAAGTCATAGACGCATTTTTTTAATACCGATAAATTAAGACAAATCAATTATACAGTAGCCTATGATCTTCAAACACTTTTCAATTGATATCAATCCATATTAATGACCATCGTCAAACGTAACTAATCTTCACAAACTACTCAAGCAAACAGATATTCTTAGTGGACATTGAAGTGACGTTATAACTTATTGTAAATTTAGTAATTTTGAAAACTACCGATCAATGACATTTGATTTACTGTCTGAAGCTGTATAATTTCTTTGAAATATAAAAAAGTTTAGTGAAGTTACCCTGAAGCAGTCGAAAGTGTATACTCATGCTTATTTCACACTCATTGGCACTAATTATTCTGAAGAATTTTCATGAAGTCTGTATCATTATTAATGATAGACATAGGTATCATTGCTAAGGTTCGACTTGATAATTTCAAATAACTTAGCATTGGGTAGATCGTTATAAATGAAAATAATATATTGGTAATATCCCAATGAGTAGAAAGATTAGATTTTTTGATGTTTCATGACTCCGTGTAAGACACTTTTTCAGAGAATAAGTAACCAAATTATAATTAACCCAAGTTTAAATAGTACAAAGGAACAAAGCACTGACTTTCCCAGACTTGTTTTTGATTGATCGCACATATTTTAACGTCAGACCTATTTTTTCTACTCATTGGGATATTACAAATATTACTACTTTCATTTGTAATGATGCTCATACTTTTAAATATTATTTCTAACCTGATTTATAGAATTCGGTCTACTTTTGCAAATTATTCTTCCATAATTTCTGAATTTTTTAAACTACTAGCTATTTCTCTAGCATTGATTTTATTGAAACATTCTTATGGATACTTTTTTCACAGGATTTAGAATCGAAATCACAGTCATTACAACTGACAGTTGATCGTTTAAGTACAGCGTTAGCTAAAACAGAAGAGTTAGAAAGTGCAAGCAAAGATAAAATCCAACAACTTAATTCAAGTCTTTCAGATCATAATCAGACCATATTAGAATTACAAGAACGCCTAGCACATTTGCAAAAAGCTCTAACGAATTCAGAACATGATAGACGAATAATACAAGTTTGTTTTTTATAATTATTAGTTAAATTATTCATAATTTCTATTTACATAAAGTTTGTTTTTCGTATTTGATAAATCTTTTGACTGAACTCGTAGATCAATTTCCTAAGCTCTTTAGTGGCCCGATATTTGATTAGATCGTATAAATGATTGTTATCAAAATATACAACCTGGCTATCGTCGTATATAATTATCGACTTAACTCGCGTTAGTGAATAACGGAATCAAAATAAGTCAAATACGAGAAAGGATTTCGAATACGTATACTTTGTACGATCATTGATTCAAGCAGATGATCAAAAGAACAAAGCGAAACAAAATAATGCGCGATGGAGAAGGCATGTGAGCCAACTCCATTTAATCAAGCGTTAATCAATATTTATAGCCACGCAAAAATAAGCTACAGACATGTGATGAGTAGAATAAGATGTACACACATATACGTTCATATAAAATCGGTCAGGGTTGATAAATGAATAATTAACAAGGTCAAAACGTAACTCAAGAAGGATGGATAAATCGGTTTGTCCAAAAGCTAGAATAAGCTATGTGGGTTCGACATAGAACCAGCCACTACACTCTTCTAATAACCCATGCCAAATCTACACAACAACTTGAACACAACAGAAAAGACGCAAAATGTCGAAAGAACACTGTTCTCCAAGGTTAATTTACGTACAGAAAATTGAGAGTATCTTTATCATCTCAGATAGCCTTGAGTTTCTGGAACCCTGCTAAACATAGTAGCAGGATAGGTAATCATCCAGTCAGAAATTCGACACGTATGTCTTCACTTTCTAGATATTTCTGAGACACTTCCACCCAATGTTGATTGGATAAAATGTTTCCCAGCGTTTTCAAGGCCCCTCTGACCTTTCTTCGAGGAATACTCTGGATTTCCCCAACACTATTGAAGAAAAGTGCAATTTAAGATTCATAATAAAAATTTGTCACAATGATATTTGACTAGAGTGGCACCATCTTTGAGACTATACATCTCAAAACGTACAGAAACAGTAATTCGAAATAAAACAATGTAATGATCAACTACATGTTCACAAAAAATAATGAGTATAATGTAACATAACTTGTTTTAATTAAACTTCAGCGTAATTCCCTTTTGCCATCATATTTTCGTGACGTTTGTTCAAAACAATCAGTAACATGTAATTTAAAAACTAAATTTTATGCCGAAAGGATAACCGTTAGTTAGTATCATAATATAGATGGCTTTGAAAAAGTCCATGCCATGCGTTGAGTAAGAAACACCAATAATAAGATTTTAATGATAAAAAATTGAAAGTTCAGAACTCAGTTATTGAAACCGGAACAGGTAAATAGGTCATAATGCAATCAAAAACTTTACTTAAAGACTAGTTTATATAAATAAGCAATAGGATACTTAAATATTACCGAAAATCCTTGAGGTTTAATAGATTTTGGAATAAATAATAATGTTGTTAACAAACCATTCTTTCGTCGAGTAATTTTAGGAAAGCGAAATTGAGGGATTTTTCGCGATTTCTTAATTGACTAGAAATTGTTTTGAACACTTTCGGTTTTCTGAAAAGATTTGGAGGACAATATTTGGCATGATCTAAAAATCCTAGAATGATGTAAACTCAGCCTATATAGTAATTTTATTTTTATTTCTTTAAATTTAGGAGCGATTAGATAATACACGTAGTGTGTTGCATGAACAAAAACATCAAAACCAACAGTCATGTGAAAAAATACAATCATTACAAAGTGAGTTAGCTGATGCTGAATTGCGTCGAGGAGAGCTTGAAAATCAAGTTCGTCAAACAAATAATACTTTGGATAAACGTCAAGAAAGTGAACAAGAACTCAATAAACAACTTCAAACGGTAGGTTTAAACGAAATGTGAGAAAGGTGTATACATCTCAGAAGTATACATTAATAAGTCATTTATTGGATAATAATAATAAAGGAGAAAATATCATTCAAAGTGAGATAAAAATGCATCGCCCTTGTACCATTCCTTTACCTTCAACAGTCGCAAAGCTCATAGAGTATGTTTAGTACTATTTTAACGAAACAACCGTACATGTTATGTCTACATTTCAAACGGTTTACATAATGTAAAATACTTTTTATCTAGCCGATAAGTAATAACTACAAATCCCTTGAATATTAATCAAAACTTAAGGCCATTGTTAGATAACGTATGCAACCTGGATGGTAATCCTTTATTATCATAGTTGATGTAGTAAAATCCAAAATACTTAATACTTATCCCAATACTTCAGTTATTGTCTCTCGAATGGGCGAGTTTATTTGAAACATGATGTGCGAAATTCACAGCATGTAGGTTATTTTATAGCTGCCACTAAAATATTAAAGACGAAATTTGATCAAAAGATACTTTTTCAACGAGTTGATTGATTATTGAGGTTATGATCCCCACAATAATTTATTATGTTTTTTGTGTGATTATGTAAAGACTGATCATTTTCTGATTATTTAAAATGATATTATACATTATATGAAAAATATATTTAGTCATGAAAACGAGGATTCGGTTCAATAAAGTGATATATATATATATATATATATATATATATATATCAGGAAGTTAAGCAAGCGTCTTTTAAATTCACAATTTAAGAAACTTCGTGTGTTCAACAACGGCTTCAGGAGAACAGCTGGGAACACCAATTTCGATAGACTTCTATCTGCCTTCTAAATGACTTCAAACGACCAGTCTACTTTTGTTGGAAGCCTTTAATATTGGACCTTCTTGAACAAAATATTTTCTGAGCGACCAATATGTCTTACATTATTAGAGCAGAAGCGATAAATACAGGTTGAGAAGGTTAAATGCAACTGCTTGTTCATTAATTTGTTGGTAAATAAAGAACTATTGGAGAAATGATACTCAGGCTTCCCGTAATAGAATGTTCTTTTCTTGGAGTTTGCGATTGTCACCTTGAAGATGTCATCAAATATGGAACACATTCTGTTGTGTAGAGATTTCAGATTCTGTGGAAGGTTTTGGCTTTATGTTTAAAACTTATCTGCAGAACCCTGTCAGCTGATTGTTCCATATGAATTTTTTTGTAAACGGATCTTCGTAACGCTCCATAAGGTGTCCTTTCTATTTCAGCATTATAAGAGTGAGAATTCAGCTCATTTCCTGTTGTGATTTTATTCATTTATCGACTTATTCTTGTTGCTATATTCGATCAGTAGTTGTTATCATAAATGATACATAGGTCTATTTTTATATACTTAGTAATATTAGGTAAAAGATAATCAACAAAGGTAATGGAAAATTCAGTGAGGAAGATGAAAGATATGAAAAGCTTTTGAATGAATGAGATAAGCCAGTGATTATCACTATTTTAAGAATAACACTTACCAGGTCAACTTCTAATGCAGCCTTCATAACCTTATTTATTAATATCTAATTGTTGACCAATAACTTGCTCCTTAGACCAATACTTTTTACTTATTATTTAAATTGATAAATCAGTCATAATATAAAGGTACTAATGATCAGCTGTGATTAACCCACGTATGTTATTTGAGACTAACAGCTTTGTATAATATTTCTATCACAAACTACTTATGTTCGAAATGGCCAGATTAAAACGTAAATTTACCTTCTAACTGAAAGGAGCAAAGTTAATTTAAGATATTAAGTTAATATGCTGAAAATAAAATATCTCTTGTTATTGGTAATAAATAAAATCGAAAGCACTGAACATTATAATTAGATCAGTCCTCATTCTAATTATATAATAATAATAATAATAATAATAATAATAATAATAATAATAATAATAGCTTTATTGAGTATTATATGTTTCCTACAGTACGAATTCCCAGTATACATTTCAACAAGTTTTTCTTACTCTTTTTGTTGTTCACAAAAATATATATACATACACATACACGTGAAATATGTAAATAAAATAATATGGTGTTAAATGAAATATTTGTAAAAACAAAATATAAATATCTATAAAACTGTGAACTATCAGTATGTGAAAGTATACAGGTGTTTAATTAAATCAGCTTTTACAAACCGTTCGTTGCATCGTAGATGTGGTAGATAAGGTATGGCAGAGGTTTTTCACTTGGTTTGCATACTGGAGTTTGTTCAGGAATAAAGATCTGAAAGAAGTGAATGTTTATTATCCGATAAAGTAAGGCGTTCCAGCAATTCCCAAAACTTCAAACGTTTGCCCGCAATCATATTAATAATAACATCAAAAGATTCACTTTGTACCGTATTAAACGACTTCAACACCCTTCGCAACACGGTAAAATATTTCTCAAAATTTCATGAAGGAATAATTGAGAACAAGAAATAATAAGTATTATGCAAGGATTCATAAATCATAAAAGTAAATACGGAGTCGTACCAAAAACATGTAGCCTCTTTATATAATACATCACCTAAACTCTTTTTCGATATTAAAAAAATTATAAGAAGACCAAGAGAAGTCAAAAGAAAAATACCAAAATATTCAGCATTTTACAGTTTTAATTACAGAATCTCGAACAGTACAAACCTTGTGTGATTCAAACAGAGTATTTAGATGCTTTTCCTGTATCAAACCAAAGTTTACAGTTTGACATGTAGAAGGATAAAGTGTAGAACCATTAGAAAGGAACCATCAGAACAGATCATATTCTGATAATAATAAACATTGAATTCAAGAAATTAGATTTGTTTTTGCAACATTTACTATTTTTATAGCTTTTAAAGGAAAGGCAAGAACTATTTGACAGGGTATCGTGTTTACAGCGCAATTTAACAGATGTTGAAAATATGCGTGATCACTTAATGAGATCAAGTACCCATCTAGAAAAAGATAGGCATAATCTTAAACGACATTTAGAAAAAGCCGAAAGAGAAAAACAACAAAACGAAGAAATTGTGAATAAGAATAATCTTGATCGTACGGAGTTAGAAATAACATTACGACGTTTGGAGGAAGAGAATTCAAACAGAAGAAAGCAGATTCAGTTTTTACAAGTAAGTTTTATCAGTAAAGGTATTCCTTGCCGAACTAATAAGTGCCTTGAGCTCATTAGACAAACATTGCCACAATATCAACAAAAAGCGATAAACGTCAGATAACAATAATAGTACATAATGTTAGAGATTTTTGCTCGTCAGTAGTAATAATAATACAAGGCGAATAAGCAAAGTACTTTATATAGACTTCCAGTATATATGTACAAGTACTAAAACAATCAGAGCATGATTTTCAAGACCTAGTTCACATGATTGATCGATTCATAACTAGAACAAAAGCTTAATAAAAGAATTTAAATTGAAAATACTGATTTTCTACCTCATGAAAATCACTTCATCAGTCATTTGAGCGATAAAATATTTCGGTTTTTCAAATATATTTTTCAACTATCTGTAGATTTTTTACCGCATGATTGACAGATTAATGTTTTGTCAAGAATCGTCTCAAACTAGTGGAGTGCTCCACTCTAGCTTAAATTAAGTTAAAATTCCCAGTTTGTAATCTGTAACTAACGATCTGAACACTGTATGTTTGCATGTGACGTGCTTCAATCATATAGTCTATAAAGATCATTGTTGATATTTTATAAAAGGGACCAAGAAATTAGACTTAATATGATTTACTCAACAGAGTGTTGCTCGACTGGATGAACGGCTCAGTAGACGTACAACTTTGAGATCAACAGACCGGATTCCGTAAGAATCGGTCGTGCACAGACCAAATCGCGACTTTACGGATCATTGTTGAATAATCAGTCTAGGGGAACTCGCCACTATACATCAACTTTATTGATTATGAGAAGGCGTATGACAGTGTGGATGGGAGAATACTACGGAAATTTCTTCGATACTATGGTGTGAGTAGCTGAGAAAATCATCAACACCATACGACATTCATATGACGGACTACACTGCAAAATCGTGCATGGAAGACAGCTGACAGATGCATTTCAAGTGAGGACCGAAGTTAGACAAGGCTGTTTACTCTCTCCCTTCTTTCTTCTGGTGGTCGACTGGATTATGAATACCCCGATATCTGAGGGAAAGCACAGAATAAAATGGACAAGTTGGATCCAACTAGACAATTTGGACTTGGCAGATAACCTTGCCCTCCTATCCCATATACATGAACAAATGCAGGTGAATACAGTCAGTGTAGCAGCAGCCTATGCATCAGTAGGCCTCAACATACTCAAAAGACCAAGCGAAATCTTCGAATACAACACGGAGAACACCCACCCATTCACACTTGATAGAGAAACTCGGGAAGATGTGGAAGCTTTCACATACCTGGGAAGCATCATTGATGAACAAGGAGAGTCTGAGGTAGACGTAAAGGTGAGGATTGGCAAAGCAAGGGCCGCATTCCTACAATTGAACAACATATGGAACTCAAAACAACTGTTTGCAAACCAACATCAAAGTCAAAATCTTCAATACCAACGTCAACACAGTCCTACTGTATGGAGCCGAAACTTGGAGAACTACTATAAACATCAAAACTGTATGAGTATTTATAAACAATTGTCTACACAAGATACCATCAGCAATAGCCTTCTGCGGGTGAGGACAAACCAACTTCCAGATGAAAAGGAAATTAGGAAAAGACGTTGGAAGTGGATAGGATATACATTTTAGAACTCACCAAACTGCATCACTAGACATGCCCTAATTTGTAATCCTCAAGAAAAGAGGAAGGCCGAAGAACACACTACGTCGGGAAACGGAAGTAAATATGAAAAGGATGAACAGCAACTGGAAAGGATTGTCCAGGACAGGGTTGGATAAAGAGTGCTGGTGAGCGGCCTATACTCCTCCACGAGAGGTAACAGACTCAAGTAAGTAAGTAATGATATACTCTGACTGTACTGATCGAGTTTCCGATTCTATTGTCCTTCAGTATTGTTTCAATGGAATTATTGTCAGATTTTAGGTGGAAAAGGGATTAGAAATTGTGTGCATATACGATTACTGTGTATGAACATTTATTTTTATGTCTTTTGGTAATAAAACCTACGCATAATCGTGAAAAGATTTAAGGTACTTTCGAAACCATCATCTGTATTATTCATTAAAGAACTTATCTAGCCATCGCTTAGTAAATCTTAAGCACCTCACCTACACATGAGTCTTTATTCGTTTAGTTTCGTTAAGTTATTAAATTGACTTATTTAACAAACCGTGTCATTCAAACAATAACAATTTGCCTAAATCAGTAGATATTGCCATATCTGTATGATCGTGTATGCTGAATTATGTGTTATACCTTACACATATCCCTCTTACTAGCTTAAATGTTTTTCGCTTAAATCACACGATGACTGATTCGCTTTCTTATAAATATGTGCTTCTTAAATAAGAATAATTCATTCATTCGCATTCCGTTCGTATTCTTTTTGTGTACTTTTGGCTTTGTGATCGGCGCTGTACAATAATAAACTGCAGTCAGCGCTTCGTATTTTCTTCTAAAATTTATACACCGTTGGCATTAAGAATTCTTCCAAGGATATTCGACTACAAATCCTTTGATTGAATCTGCAAAATTTGTTATATGTGTAGCGTTAAGCGTTTACAAAAAACATACTATGGTACATATTTTTCATGGTTTTCGTCAACTTGAAATGCAGAAGTTACGTTTATCTTTTGGTAGTTGTTCCAACTTGATATCAAATAACAAGGATATTCTAATATAGAAAGATTTTCATGAAAGACCGATTGTAAATTACTCATATCGTTGCAAAGTTAAAAAATCCTTTCTTATAAGAATTTACATCTAAATTTGAACAAATAGTTTAACAGTAGTTAGGCGCCAAGTTAATGCAAGTCTTTAAAGAGGAAAATCATATTTGTGTATAACTGAATGTTGAATCGCTGAGGTTTTCACAAATATAAGTTTCCTCTTTAATGTCATATCCTTCTTGTTATTCAAGTAGCTAAAATTTAATCAAGCTGATCTAATATATTTCACAAAATCGATAACTACATCAATACTTAGATTGGATTCTCTACATTCCGAATACGTTATTAATTATTCAACAGTAATGGTTATGGTTTAGTTTTGTTTGAAATATTATTAACTACAAATAATTTATTAAGGGACAAACCTCATCGTCAGTTTGCTCACTGAACAAAATCGATATAACTTTATCTGTTAGTTTACCGAATTTCGATCAGCCATAGTTAGCATATGTGTCATATGTGTGGATTGTCTCAGTATGTGTAGCCATTATGTCGGAAGTTTTCATAGGGTAAATAAAATATGGCTATCAGGGCAATTCACAACGCGCGTTTCTTATTGTTAAAATTCATCGGCTGGTCATATATGCATCCTAGATCCCAGTGTTAGCCATATTTCATCTATTCTATTGAAGAATCGTTATACTCTTCTTTAGATTTATGGTACAGGACAATTTAAATTCAACTCTTCATCAAATAACCAAATACATATGATAAAAATCAGATTAAGGAATAGCATTCACTAGCCATTTTAACGAAATGATTCATATATGGATTATAACACAATAGCTTTCAACTTAAACTGTGCTACTGGATAAGTTAATTATATCAAACAATTAGCCTACTCAGTTAATCGTAAAACAGAATTTAACTTCAACCATACACAGATAGTATTTATCTGTAGATAATTTATAAAACAGGTAGAAAAAGTATATTTCATTAATTTATTACTATTGCTTTTAACGCTTCTATTTAAATTGTAGTCCAAATTGGTTGAGATGGAACAAGCTCATGCTAAACACCTAAATGAACTAGCGAGTCGACATCGAGCAGAAAGTGAATTGGAACTAGAAAGACTGCGCTGTGGCAAAGCTCAAGCTGAACGTGCACTTGAAGCACGCGAACGCGCCCACAAACAGCGTGTTAGAGCTTTGGAAGATCAAGTAAGTAAATCTCTGTGACCCGATTTATATTGAAATAGACAGTTTTCCCAAATTATCCTTCAAGCAGAAGGATATTACATTGCTGGTGTATACTTAAAAGTCATTTGAAATGATCAATCTGGAGAAAAATTCATGCAACAAATCTTTGTGTAACTTACCGTGGCTATCACCTTATAAACAAAACATCATTATATGTTTGATAATTTTGTTACTAATTAACTTAGTGTCACTTTCATGGTATAAAATATTTTGATAACTTTGTCTGATTGCTTCAAGTTTGTTATCTCTTTTTAAAAACTCATATTTCCACCAGTGGCTAGTTTCAACAAAATAATCAAATCGACTTTACCCTTTGAAATGAATTTAATTAGTAGTTTTTTATTCCTAGGATTTGTAAAATTGTTGGCAAATTGAGGAATTTGTGAACACACAACTACAAAGTTATCCTTGGTTTGTTTTCCCATAAATAACCCTTCTGAGTTGCGTTAATTAGCATTATCATTTAGACAATGTATAAACGCGATACTAATGAATTAGAAAATCATAATGCCAAAATAATACTGTTCACATACTAGATTTACAAATTCCAATCAACAACGACAATGTCTTACTAATGCTTTTGTATATTCACTTGTCTTAAACCAAATCACACAGTGTTTACCTAACCGAATTCATGGATATATTACTAACATCATTGTCTAACGATTAACATGCACATTTAAAGCATATTTCTGAGCACATCTGACAGAATATGAGTAAACTATGTAGAAACGTTTAAACGGAGTAGTACAAGAACTTGAAAAATCACTGAAATTTCACTACCAGATATCATTGAATTCACTAAAAGAATACTTCTGGAGTCCAAATACATATACATTTTAGAATTTATATCTCAATAGTCGACATATGTAATCTAATTTATGGGATTTAAAACACCTGCTACTAAATCTTTACGTTAATTGGTCCTAAAAATAATTTCTTACAAAATAAATGACGCTAACTACTAAGGTGTAATGAGAAAATATTATCTTTGAAAATATGTAAAGAATCGAGTCATTAAAATACAAAAATTTTCAAAGGAAATATTTCTCAGGAACACTACTGCTAACCGTCATCTTATTGTTAGGCCTATTAAAATCTAAAGTGTGTTCTTTTGGGTTAATATGTTCAATTTATGTTGATCAAGTTTTGATTTTATGATAAAATCTGGTGTATAATCTCTTTTATATATGTTGTCTGATGACTGTTCATTTCATTAACGAGACTTATTTACATAATTTCCATCCAACTGAATAACTAGAAAAAAAAATCAACACATCAGATGTAGATGTAGCTTAGTAGGTAAAGTACATAACTATGAGACTTTAATTGATAGATTTTAATTTAATCAAAAGTGAACACTTACATCACTTATATGAATGAAGTATTGTAAAGTTTAACTTAATCTGTTAGTAATATTCGCCAGAAACTGGTCTCCGTTGAAGTATCATTAGAAATGAGAGTCCACTGGATAGCTGTATCGTCCTAGTATGGGGCTCTTTAGCATTGTGCACCCACACTTCCACCTGTGATCAGCCAAAGGCTCTCAGAACTAGTGGCAAACTTTTAGAACCACTGGGTTTGCTTCCACTGGTAAACACTTCCAGTTTCAATCAATTTGCTATATAGCATCAATTATATTAAGATTTTTAATGAAATCCTGTTAAATTTCACTCACTAATTCTATACATACTTCAGTCTTCTTAAATTTTATTCCGAATGATCATAGTTATCATATTTTTGAAGCGATACCTAAACAACTAGAATCATAAATCTTTTTCTTTTAAAGGTTGTACAGTTAAAAGTTAAGGTAGGTTAAAGCTAATTTGTTTCATTTTGTTCAATCAATTTAAAACGTGTTTATTGTCTCAAATAAGACAAACCTACATGTTGGAGTCGTTATCTGTGCACAATATCTTTATGTAACACTAATTAATTCGTAAAACACTTTCATACATATATTCCTATCATTGTAGTAATCGAAGTTGCTAAAAATATTTATTTTTATTATGCACTTGCTCATATATTCATTTTTCATAAAAATTTACATTAAAACTGACTAAACAATATAGTATGATTTCATATGGCTGTCTTTTTCTAAAAATTAATTCATTAAATATTATTATATAACGCTGTATTTTTTTATCTATATCAATATGGAATTCTACATAAATAAAATTTTCAATTTTTATTAATAATAACGAAAGATCCAGTTATCATACCGATATTGCTTTAAATAAAATGTTGCCTTCATGAGATGAACTTAAGTTTAAGATAGAGTTAAAAAATCAAGATAACTTATTTCAAATAAGTGATATCTTTCTAGCAAATATTTTTGTTATATCGCAATGAGAAAAATTGTTTCTGACGTTTGATGACTTAATGTAAGCCATTTCTTCAGAGTAAATAAATAAATAATTAACTCCCTACCCAATGCTTAATTTATTTGAAACTAACAAGTTCAACCTTGGTATTGATACCTATCAAGTGATATTTTTCGTTTACTTTTGAAGTTAACTTTAAAGACTAGGTCTAGTTTATATGTATAATGATGTTAACCATAAAATGAAAGATTTTAAGATTGATTTAATTGAAAACAGTGAATCATATTGAATAACTTTACAATAAGAATTCACTATTCATCAAGAACTTTGGATTTTTCTGCAGAATTCATTTATGAAGGATTTATTCTAATGATCTTGAATAAAATGGATGGATTGAGAAATATTCATCGTTTAGCAACACTACTGTAGATTAACATCTACATAAAACCAAAGAAATATTTTATCCCACCATCTAATATCCCGAATAATTAAAAATTGTCGCTTGAATAATTAGTGAGTACAGTCATAAGATTTTTTTAGATAACATATAAAATTTACAACAAAATAACCTCGAAACTATAAATTCTACACACTTGTTTACATACAATAGTTTAATTAGATTTTGTTCGGAACACTGGTGCCCAAATTTAATTAGAAATAAAATGAGACAAATAAGCATTTCATGTTTAGAGAAATACGGTAACAGAAAACTGAAAGTATTTGACCGAACAGATTAAAAATTGAGATAGAATCTGTTATTTAAAGAATAATACATTTGAAATCAAAGTTGAAAACCAAAATGGTTAAATGCAAAATCTATCCTTCTTCACTTGTTCGTAATTTTATAATCTGCAATAATAGTCTGTGATATATTCTTTAACTTGAATTAGTTCTCTAAGTGTATAAAATCGAAGTCAGTTTTCTTCAAGAAAATATAAAGAATCTTGCAATTATTCATACATTCTTAAAGTTTTCTGATTTAAAAACAAATCTAAATACTTATGAAACTGCTTTTTTCCCTTACTGAAACTTCAACTGACTTATTATTGCATTTCATAATGACAATAAAAGTAATATTTACATTCTGTTTTTTTTTAATTAATGGACTTGACATTTTTTAAAAGTTGTACTTCAAGTAGTTGATTTGCATAATATCGAAAAAATTGCAAATTGAAATTTAATTACCATAATAATTGAGATTGAGATCATGTGCCGACCAATGTTAGACCACCATTGGAAACCCAGGAGCACTGGACAGCCGTTTCGTCCTAGTATATGACTTCTGGTCAGTGAGCATCTACGATCACGTACGCGGGATTCGAACCTAAAACCTTCGACCTCGCGAGCGAATGCCTAATCTCTAGACAACTGAGCCGGCGTCCAATGTTGTTAATGTCTAACTTCGACCAACCCAAGATGTTGAGTGGCCATATTCCGTTGTCTTCGGTGAGTAACTGCCACACAACCGACATGGTTAAACTCCATTGGTCACGGCTTCTTCCTAAAACTCCAAGAACTAGTTAGTTAGGAATAGATGAAAATGACATCGGTTAATATTTAGTGACAAACTAGTGTGGAAATCTTAATTTTAGAAGAATTTAGTCCTATGTTGGACTCCTTGGTTAAATGTATCCACACTTGTTCTGATATATATTTTGGAATTTGAATCTAGTATCAGCTACTTCGGAAGCAGACGGGTTAACTATTAAGTTTATACCGATTTTATAATAATAATAATAATAATAATAATAATAACAGTATTTACATCCCGCCCAGGTTTTAGTTTTAAACTGTAAAAGCTGATGTTTTATTTGGTTAACTCGGTTGAGAAATTTTTTTTTCGGAAATTGAATTTATACTTTTCTTAAATTTTCATTCATACATTCGTTTTTGTTTCAGTTAGCCTCACTTAAAGATCAATTGATAGTAGAAGCGAATAGACCACAGCAATTAATAAATAATCCAAATAAATTTCAAACAACTATTCGCTCTGAAATCCCAATGAATACATCATCTACTAACCGACGTTCAATAGAACGCAAATCTGGAGGACAAGGTGATTTAGCATTAAAAGCATCATTATCAAGCGGTGATATACGTCGGCTAACAGATAACGGAAATACAGAAATTCGTAATACAGCAGGATCGAAATATTTAACAAGTAGCCGACCAAATAGACTTCCAAGACGATAATTAATTTACCTGACAAAAAATATCTGTCATAAACTTAATGAACATAATATAATGTTAAATTTTAAAACTAGGTAAACAATGTTCATCAGGGATCAACTTAATCTTAAAATTAAAAAAAGTAAAACAAAACGAGGACTACTAATCTCATTTTTTTGTTCTAATGTGTAAACTTTCTTCATTTCTTGCAGTATATCTAATGTTGTGTATTCATATTACTAGGTTTTCGTATGTGTTTATTTTAAGAAACATGCAAATTCACTTCTAAATTACTTTATACATATTATTTAGATTTACAAGTCTTTTTGAGAAAAAAAATGATTGAGAAATTACTAGTTATTAAAAATGAGGAACAATAATATTCTTTTCTTTCAAATTTAATTCTATGCAAATTTACAATCCAAAAAATATAGAATGATAAATTCAAGAAATACTACAAATGATAATCAGTTCATAATTATCATTAAATATAAATATATAATTATGTTGTTCATAAGTACAATATGTAACAAAATAATTATAAAGTATACTAATAAATATATATACATTTAAATACTCTTAATTTTTTCACAATAATGAATGTACTTTAAAAATTGCTTATCAAACATATTTATAGCTTTCAACTAGGTATAAGTAATAGTGATTCGTAAATGGTAATTCACCGTACATGTAAATTAGAACAATGAATGCTTTAGAATTCTTGAAAGGACCACTTATTTCATTCAAAAGTGACTGTTGGTAAAGAATATATAGGATCATACAAGTTTTAGCTTACGATAAACCAATCTGTTCTATCTGTCACCTATTACTTACACTTGAAAACGAGGAACAACTACAATTAAGTACACGGAAAACAAGACGACCCTTGTCGAAAATACACTCACTTATGCATCGAACATAAATCAGGTTAATTTTATACAAAGAATAGCTTATCTAGAATAAGCATCACACTGAAACAAATCCAAGTTATACTGTACAAAATATCACAACGAATATAAAACAAATATTAAATTAAGTAATTATATCATTGAACTAAAAAAGGAAGTAATTTTGAACAAGAATCACAGTGAGTTAAGAAAATGTGATCTGATAGCTCCTTATGTAAAACCTAATTCACTTAGATATGGAGTCAAAAAGACTACAGAGAAGGATACTATTCGATTCATATATCTGAAGGCTCGGTGCCTAGTCTTTTCTATTACCACTACTGTTACAACCTTTACTACTGTATGGTTTAATCTAATAAATTCATTTATCTGTGCTAATGGAGTATGACAACGGGTATACATACGTACCACGTTCTACGTCGCATTTGACTGACTTCTCATTGATCTATTGTAGTAGCCATGTTGGTAGATGCAGACTACCTGGTTGGGGTCCGCTTGACTATCGTAACCAATGGTTGGAGACTTCTGGTGACATGGCCCAGAATCAATCACAATGGCGTCGGTGCATACACTCTCTGTCTTCCCTCAAACTAAGTGATTAAAATCGCCTCTTGTCTTTCTTTCTAGGAACTAATTCTTTCTTCCTGTACTATCTCCTTATATGCAATCTTTCTTTATATATTACCACCACTGAATTAACTACTTCTATGAATCCGGTGTTCATCTTGTTGTGCTAATGAGGTATGGCAACTTGGACCGATGCATATATGTGCCTGGTCCTACGTTGCAGCTGACTATTTAAAATTCCTGTCACATTCATGATTAGAACAACACATATAAGTGAACAATTGTTTTCAATTAGATCATCATCAGGCCTTACTCTAATATACAGTAATATTTATACGAAAACGTTAAACCAATCAAGGCAATTTGGGTCAGTAATCACAATGAAATAGATAAAAGTACAAGTGGATAGTAGGAAGACAGGTGTACTGATAGTTTAACCTTTTCGCATAAATATTACTGTATATTAAATCCTGATGATGATCTAATTAAAAACAATTTTTCGCTTATATGTGTTGTTTTCATTTTCACAATGGGAATCTTTAACATTCATGATTGGATGTTTTGTTTATCTATTATATTGAATAACTTCTGTAGGCTTCAGAGTGCCTCTAAACGATGGGTAGAATAAAACTAACACGTCAAACCATAGTTGTCGATGATACGTCTTTCTCTTAAACTCACAGTGATAAAATACTGAACTTGGGAACAATTTGAAGCGTCCCTCGAGGGGTGATAGTTATACAATCGATGTCCTATTTATCTATAAATCAGTGATGCTAAATATCTAGTCAATTTTATAGTCACTGAAATAAAATTTAAGTTCAAATCTTTCTCTGAATTAAGAAATTGCTATTATATATCTTGTACCATGCACTGGTGGTACTACACTAATGTACATCCAAGCATAATTGAAGATCTCGAACATGAACTACTGGTTCTCACTTTCACCTTATGACTTTAGTCTGAATTCTACGGTTGGTTATTTTTCCTTCAAAGTAACAAATATACTCAAACCCATGAACAATAGAAAAAAACAGGAGTAAATATATGAGTAATTAATTTTGCTGCTTTCGAATTTTTGATAAAAGAAAAGTATGAAATAAAAACATTATGAGAAAAGAAACCACCAGTGAGTCAGTAATACAGTAGAATGATGTAAGAATTTATGTTGCACAATAAGGACAATAGTCATAGTGATTATCAGTATTCATATGTCAAATTAATCACTATTCTTCAGAAGAAAAATAAACACTTTAGAAAAGCAAAAAATATTAATATTACTTAATTATGATAACAGTAGCAGTGAAGAGTAGTAATTGGAGCACTAACAAAGATAGACGTATATATATATATATATGACAACTTGAAAACTTTCTCTATCACTGGTTTAATTAACTAACCAGAGACATAATCCACAAAGAACGACAGAAATAGAAAAGCAGAAACATTATTTTTCTTTAAAAATAAAAACTTACGATTGAAAAGGTGAAAATGAATTTTGATTTTGAGATGTATTTGGTCATATTCCAATAACTATACAAATATTTATATTCATTTGAAAACTACTCAATATTGAAGAGACAAGAAAGATTGTATATGTATCTATTTCACCATACAGTAAAATATACGTATACATGCAGTTAAACGTATAAACATCTACATATATACAGTTGGAATTATCACTTTCGTGAAGACAAACTTTTAACTTTTGAAATTAAATAATAAATTGTATCAATGATAATGGGAAAAAGAGATTAACATGTACAAAAAATCTGGAAATTGCAACAACAAAATATAAAATAATTGAAACGTATGGGTTGATATAGATACATATAGATATATATATATATATATATATATATATATATATATATATATATATATATATATATACAATGCGCTTATAAAAAGCTTCCAGTTACAGATTACAACGTCAAACTGATAAGTAGTATAACTGTTATCCTGAAGTGCTGTAAGTATAATATGAGAAATAGGTTAAGAAGAGCTGAGAAGTAGCGAGAAACGAAAAATCTACTACAGCAAGTTGTGGATAACTCTACATTTTAAAAGTGGACAACTGAAATTAAAAAAGAAAGGTAAACAAGAAAATGAAATAGAAAAGTAAAAAAATATTGTCGCATCCGTCGTCCATAATATTTCATGCAACATATACATAGACAATAAGAGATAAAAGAACCAGGAAAATAGAATTAACTTAAAATCCTGTAATAGTAGTGATAATGATCAAGCACTGAAAACGACTTGTTTTCACGGCTGACCGAATATTTTCTCAAAAACATTAGCTTTACAATCAATACGAATAGAAACATTTTCGATGTATACACACACAGTAACAAAAGAGCATTTGTGAAAAAGTATCCAAGATTAAATAGAAAGACAATTAAGATGAAGTGATCAATATAAATGACTGCATAAATTCTATCAATGCAGACGTCGCTTCCGAAATCGTTGGGAACTGGATGAAGTAGATGATTCTGTGACAGTGCAATTAGTACAGTCAGTATTATGTGTACGTGAAGATGACTTCGTAGTTCTATCTCTTAAATTAATTCCACTATTGTTTGTATCTGGGTATTCTGATGTGACACTAAAAGAGTCAGCTGAATTATTTGCATCTTGTGTGAAAACATGTTCACGAGAGACACGCGGTCGTAAAGAACGTCTAGTATTGACTCGATCATCTGATTTAATTTGTCTTAATTTTACACCAGAAGAATTGGATCGAAGATTAGTTGACCGGGATGAATTGGATGATTGAGGAGATGAACCACATGATGAACAGGATGCTAGTGTGACTGATGACACAGCTGAAGAAGCCAAACTACCCTCAACTATGCTATTCTCATCAATAGTTACAGATGACTTTTGACAACTATCTGTACATAAACTATTTGAAATAAGTAATGGGCCTTGTAAAGTGGATTCACCAGTTTCGTCACTATGTTGCTGATTTACATTGATTCGCATTGCACGTGAGTTTTTAATTTGTATAGATACAACTGGTGCTTGAAGTGTAGTTGTAGAGTTAGTCAAAACACTTTGTAAATTACAAGAGCCAGAGGAGTTCATAGATGACAATGACTCATCTGTTACAGGTGGTCTATAAGATGATGTTAAATCAGCTGATTCAACTAATGAAGATTTTAATTCGACTACACCTGTGTCCTTTCCGGTACAACTCGATCTTGAATTCCTAATAGAATCCCTAATTCTTCTTCTCCTTCGTAGCTTTCGATATGTCAAAGCGTTATAGTGATGAGAGACACGAATATTATTGTTTGTAGACTGACTAACTCGAGCTAATCTATTTATTAGTGAACTTGGAAGATAAGTTCTCTTTTTAATTGAAGAATTATTAGTCAATGAATAGATGCGTTCAGTATGCATTTTATTAGATACATATTTATTATTACTGTTATTATTATGGCTTTTTACATTTGACTTTTTACAACTGTCTGATACTTGTATGGATGAAATATGATTGTGATTAATAACAGGGGTATGTTTCAGTTTCATTGCAGATAATAC